CATGCATATGATACCTGTTCTTTCCAGTTATTCCATTTTTGTTTTTGTTTTGTTTTTTAATTTAATTATATAATTCTGGAGTTACTGCCCTTGAAGATCTATTCCTGCCATTATGGGCAGTATCTATTTTACTTTCCTGCCATTGCTTCATAATTTATAACATTAACTCTGTCAGAATTCTCTGACTTTTTATATTAGTATTTTCCTGAAATAAAATTTGAATTGTTGTCTTAAACAGTACAGTGTTCTGTATCTCTTTTTGGCTTTTCAAAACTTTATTTCCTTCAGAGAAAATTGGCCCTGGTTGGTGTGGCTCAGGAGATTGAATGACAGCCTTCGACCTGAAGGGTTGATGTTGGATTTCCTGTCAGGCACGTGACTGGATTGCAGGCCAGGCCCCTGATTGGGGGCATATGCGAGGCAACCGATGGATATTTCTGTTTCTTTCCCTCTCTTCTGCTCTCCTTTCCCCTCTCTAAAAATAAATAAATAAAATTGTTTATTTTAGATTTTATTTATTTTTAGGGAGGGGAAGGGAGGAAGAAGAGAAGGAGAGAAACATTAATATGTGGTTGCTTCTTGCATGCCCCTTCACTGGGGATCTGTCCCACAACCCAGGCAAGTGCCCTGATTGGGGATCAATTGGTGACCCTTTGATTCACAGGCCAGTGCTCAATCCACTGAGCCACACCAGCCAGAGTTAAAATCTTTTTTTTTTTTTAAAGGAAAATTATACACAGATTTGCAAAGAAAAAATTATGATGGTGTCTGTATCTCCTTTACCACATCTTTTTACTAGATGTGTTTGCCATTTACTTTCATTTTTAGGTTGGGGTATTTTGAGTTTTTTTCTGTTTTGTTTGGTTCTAGGTAGTGAACCCTACACCTGATTTGTTTGTTTCCCTTTGATACAAAGCACTTTATTTATACATGTCTGCAGTCTCTATTCCATAATTCCCAAATTCAAAATGCTTGAAAAAGTTTTTTCCCCCATATATTTGTTACTGAAACTCATTTGACACCCTTCTCTTGAACTGACAAGAAAACTGTATGTAATCTTTGTATATCCCACTTAGTATGACTATTCATTTGCTTCACTGTGTGCTTACGGGGTGCTGCCCTAATCTCTCTGGTGATATTACATCACATACGTCATACCGTGTTACCTTTCTAAAATCCAAAAGGTTTTTATGTCTGAAACATTTGGTCCTCATTGTTTTAGGTCAGTGCCTGTATGAATAGCACTGATTACATTGCAGTGTGCTGTGGTTATTTCCTTGTCTGTCTTCCCTTTTAGACTATAAGCTAAGAAGGCTTTCTGTTTTGGAGCCACAAATCTCAGTGTATTGGCATAAACAGGGTAGATGCTTAATATTGAAATTGAATGCCATTAGTTGGGGCAAACTTTTACCAGATTATAATGTCTTTTCACTTGGTTATATGTTCTTTTTAAGTGGTCTTTTCCTGTTCTGCTTTTGTTTTCTTCTAACGGCTTCACCATTTATTAATTTCATGATCATGAATGTTTTACCTAACACCTGTATAAATTAGTTTTATGTTTTTGTAAAAATGGTGTAATAATTTTGTTTTACTCTAAGTATTGTTGTTAGGGCTAAACAGAATACTTTCTGGAATTAACACTCTTCTTAATGTTAATGTAACTATTATTTATAGCCTGTTGGTTACTTTACTAAAATATGGTCAGCCATACCCTTATTAATGGACTTTGAGGTCATTTTCATTCCTTTGACACTTTAATACTACTGTAGTTAATTCTTATGTATATGTCCAATCCCACCAACAGTCTATAATATAGAGTGCCCCTAACCTTACCAGCAATGGGTTTTATGAATTCACTTTTTTAAAATGTTAAAGTAATAATTGGCTCATATGAAATTATAATTGTAGTCTCATGTATACCTTACCCAGTTTCCCCTAGTGGTAACATATAAATATAGTACAATAGTGCTAAGATGAATTCATTTGATTTCTCCAAGTCTGACCAATGGTATCTTCATTTAATTTGTTTTCCTTTGACCACTATTAAGTTTGGGCTTCTTTCTGTGTAATCTGTTGGCCATTTGCATTGCATTTTATGATCATTTGTTCCTATCCTTTTATCTGTTTTTTTTCCTACTTTGTTGTCTTTTTCTAAAAGAAACTCTCTTAGGATTATTAATTTTTTTGTCTGCCATTTGTTTTGCAGTTAACACATTTCAGCTTTGTATACTTTCTAAGTTTTGTTTATTATATTTTTCCCTGTATAGAAATTTTTTAAAAGATTTTATTACTTTTAGAGAGAGGGGAAAGGAGAGAGAAAAGGAGAGAAACATCCATGTGCAAGAGAAATGTAGATCACCTGCCCCTTGCATGCTTCCAACCTGGGACCTGACCTGCAACCCAGGCATATGCCCTGACTGGGAGTTGAACCAGTGACCTATCAGTCCATGGGTTGACGTGCAGCCCACTAAGCCACCCCAGTTAAGGCCCTGTATAGAAGTTTTTATTTTTATTTAGTCAGTATGTTTCTCTTCTGTGGTTTTTAAGTATCCTGTCTTCTGTAGAAATATTTCTGAATCCTGTATTCTGTGTCTTTTAATGCCTTTTACTTTTTACATTTTGGCCTTTAATCCATTTGGTATATGTTTTTTAATATATTGTGGGAATTATTTTCCCCAGATGTACAACATGATAGCCAACACTACTTATTAAATAAATGATTTTATTTAAGACTCAGTTCTTGTGACTTAAAACCTTAACAAAATTCCAAGATAAGACTGGCTTCAGGCAAGGCTTGGTACAGTGCAAAAGTAATACTGCTAAAAAAAAAATGGTTGTAGTTCTGTCTTTTTAGATGTTGAAATTTTTTCTGTGACCCTTACCTAGGTGTTCATCTATCTGTCTTTTGTGTTGTTCCACCCCAATTCCAGATAATTCCTGTGGTCACATGATGACTATGAAAGTTTTAGGCATTACTTCTTTTTACTACTCAGGGGAGGACAAAGGGTCTCTTTCTGAAGCTTCCCTGGAAAGAAAGTTTCCTTTCCCAAATGCCCTACAAAAAGACAAAAAGCACTTTGATTGTTGGCCTGGATTAAGTCATGTTTCTGTTCCTGAATCTGTCACTGTGATGTGGGGAGTTGCACACAGAAATGCTTACTGGGATTTCAACCAGGAAATGCTAGTTTAACAGTTTGGATTTACACCTGTGATGAGCGTGGGATTCTGTCTCAACCATGTTAGAGTGGGAGGGGGCTAAGGTTTCACAGGAAATTTTAGGTACTCTCTGCAGAAGAGGAGGGAACAGATGACCATAAGTGACTGTGTCATGATGCCATCTGTATTCTTCCCACTACACAGAAATAGTGCCTTTACATTTATTATGGGCCGTTTCTGCATTTTCTCTTTTGTTTCACTAACAGTATATAAGAGTGCTCATTTGCTTATTTATGCTGTCCCAGAAGTATATCACTTCAATATAATACTGGCTTACAGTGTATTTTAATATCTCCTTAAGCAGTTCTCCCATTATTTTTCCCCCAGATACTTCTTGGTAATTTTTATATGTTTATTTGATATAAATTTTGGGATTCTGACTAGAATTATATGTATTTTTCATGTGGAAATAACCAAATTAGAAACACATAACTATGAAGTAATTAGCCTGGAACTTTCTTCAGCAAAAGATTTTTCTTTCTTTTCTTTGTTGTCCACCATCTTCTTTGTAGGTTTGTTTGTTTTTTTTAAAGATTTTATTTATTTTTAGAGAGAGAGGAAGGGAGGAAGAAAGGGAGAGAAACGTTGATGTATGAGAGATACATCGATCGGTTGTCTCCTGCACGCCCCCAACTGGGGACCCAACCCACAACCTAGGCATGTGCCCTAACTGGGAATTGAACCCTCAACCTTTTGGTTCTCAGGATTTTCAGGACGGCATTCAGTCCACTGAGCCACACCAGCCAGGGCTTCTTTCTAGTTTTTGACCCTGAGCACTTTCATAGTATCAAAAGACAATGGACCCATGGCCTGCTCTGCCCCCACAGATAACCATAATCTTTAGTTATACCCAAGATATGTAGCAGTCTGCTCTAGCAGCCTTATTTTATTAAGTACAAGAGGAAAATGAAATCTGATTACAATTAGAAAGGAAAATAATATATTTATGTTTTTACAGATAATTTTATATATATATAAAACTCGAGAAAATATGGTAAATGCATTATAATTAGGAAACATTTACCCATGTTGTTAGAGAGAAGATAAATAATTATTCCAAAACTTACTTTTCAGTGACCTCATAATAGGTCTAAATACAAGAGGTCAGCACAATTTATACAAATACGGACTCATGTTGTACACCCACAGCTGTATGTCAAGTTCTACTTCTGGACATTTAAAGCCTCTTCTAAATGAATATAGTGTCTTTTAAAAATAATTCAGCTTCGTGAAGGCATAATTGACAAAATTTTAAGTGAAATAGAATCTTTTCATATTACATTTGTGATACTTTTTAAAAAAATTATTTATAGAGAGAGGGGAAGGGAAGGAGAAAGAGAGGGAGAGAAACATCAGTGTGTGGTTGCCTCTCACATGCCCCCCACTGGGGACCTGGCCTGCACCCTAGGCATGTGATCTGACTGGGAATCAAACCTCTGACCCTTGCTTTGCAGCCCTTGCTTTGCAGCCCTTACTGATTGAGCTACACCAGCCAGGGCATTTGTGTTACTTCTATGAGATGTTTTTCTTGGCTTCAATGTTAGATACTGGATGAGGATTAAGAAAATTAAATAATTTTTTTCTTTAGATACATAAGCATGAATTCTAAATCCATGTTCTCCATGGCAGCCTCTCTGTAGATTGATAGACTTTATAATTTATAGTTTACAAAATGTGTTTATGTCAATTGAGTGTTGATAAGTTAGTTTTATCTTAAGTCACCATTACATTGGATATTCAGAGACAGAAGCTAATCATTGTTTTTCTTTTGTTTGTCTTTGCAGTGGGACTTCCCCTCTTGCATGCCTGAATGCAATGCTGCACACAAACTCTCGAGGTGAAGAGGGCATCTTCTATAAGGTTCCGGGTAGAATGGGAGTCTATACTTTGAAGGTAAATATTTTTGTTAGGAAGTCATTTGAAAGTAGGTCATGAAGTGACTACATATAAATAATATTTGTATCATAGAGGACAGTGTTCTTGAAGAGCATATTTCCAGAACTAATATTTTCAACCCTGTATCTGATATATAGTAATCTATAACCATCTGTAGACTAGAAGTACATTTATTTTTTATTGTTTCTAATATTATCTTATGAGGACGAAATGAAAATGACTTTCAGTAATTTTTTTCAAGGGCCATAACATTTGAATAATTATGGTGGACTTACAGCCTTGATGCTCTATATACCCTCTCATTTGATTCTCCATTACAATTCAGAGTTATAGTTACTGTTCCCTTTTTATAATGGAGAAAGCCAAAATTCAGAAGATTGAATTTTTCTGCCCAATTTTGGCCAAGTAGTATCAGAATCAGAACCTAGATCTGACTGAATTCCCAAGCCCATGTTCTTTGTACCATAGCAGGCTTGCTAATTTTTAAATTCCTACACCGAGAAGGGGCCTTGACTTATTAGGGTCCTTTCAGTTACAAACAGGAAAACCAATACAAATGAGCTTGAGTAAAACAATTTTTTAAAAAGATTTTTATTTATTTTTAGAGAGAGGGGAAAGGAAAGAGACAGGGAGAAAAACATCAGTGTGTGGCTGCCCCCCACTTGTCCCTCACTGGGGACCTGGCCTGCAACCCAGGCAAGTGCGCTGACTGGGAATCAAACTGGAGATCCTTTGGTTCACAGTCTCACGCTCAGTCCACTGAGCTACACCAGCCAGGGCTAAAACAATTTATTAATTCAGGTAACTGAAAATTCCAGAGAAACTCAGCCTTGATTCAGAAGCGCAAAGATGTTTCAGGGTTTGGTAACAATTGATAATGGGGATGTTATCAGGTCTCTCCACTTTTCTTTTGGCTTCATTCTCAGGCAGGCTCTCACTCTCCTCATTGTACATGACTTCACACCCAACCCCCACCCTGCAAGCTGTACGTGTGGAGAGGAAAGAGTCTAAGGAACTAAAGCAGGAGCCTTCAGTTTGTTTCGATTTGGGTTAATTAGTTTGCCTTGGCCTATGTGTCTATACCCGAATGACTGCTGTTGCCAAATGTTTTGATCCTCTTGTGGCCACTCTTAGGTTCATGGTTACCCGTGATGTGAGGTTGGTGTTAAGCCTGCTCAAGCCAGATGAATTGATAAGAGGGGTTGTGTCCGAAGGAAATTAAATAGGAGATTAATGCTTAGTATGTATGACTACGACTATGTTTATGTGGGACTGTCCCCTCTAAACCTTTTTAGCTTTGAGCTGTAGTCATCATTATGCTCAGTGGTTGTATGTAGCCCACTAACATTAAAAAGAACTAATTTACCTGTAATGCCTCCTTTTTCTACACTTTATTAAACTTCCTGGGATTATAGGACTCTACTCCCACATGGAGTTTTCTGCTTTTCTTTTAGGCTTGAGCTGTTCTAGGCTTTGTGTGTTGTTAGTAACGTTTATGAAATGGATACTCCATGCTGGACACTGTCAGGAGTGTCCAACCTTTTGGCATCTCTGGGCCACATGGAAGGAGAGTTTTCGTCTTGGGCCACACATTAAATACAAAAACTAATGAAAACTGATGAGCCAAAAAAAAAAAAGGTTTTAAGTACTTAAATTTACAATTTTGTGTTGGGCCACATTTATAGCCAGCCTGGGCCGCATGTGGCCGCTAGGCCATGGGTTGGACACCCCTGCATGAGACTGTAAGAAGGGTACATGGTGGTCCCTGAGCTCTTGAAGGTTGCATAGTTCTTGAAATAAATGCACATTGATAAAACTTACTGTGATGTGAAGTACTGTACTGTAAAGAACTGTGATGGCACAGAGAAAGATTGAATAAAGGGATCTAGAAAGTTTTTGTTTTTTCTTTTTATTTATTTATTTTTATTTTATTTTTTTAATTCTCACTTGAGGATTTTTAGAGAGAGAGGAAGGTGGAGAGATAGACATCAATGTGAGAGAGAAACATCTATTGGTTGCCTCCCGTATGTGGCTGGACCAGGGATCAGTCCCTCAACCTAGGCATGTGCCCTGACCAGAAATTGAACCTGCAACCTTTCGGTTATGAGATGATGCTCTACACTAACCAATTGAGCCACAACAGCCAGCGCTATTTCTGTTTTCTTTAAACTTGTAAGATTTGAGTTACACTTTGGCAGTAAGTAATGTGAAGAGGGCCTTCCAGGACAAGGGAAGAGCTTAAGCAAAGGCACAGGTAGAATGGATTTTTTTGTCGAGTAAATTGGAATGGGTAGACCATAATCTGTGTGTGGGCTAGTGTGATAAGGAGTCAGGGGTGGGATACATGTTAGGTAAACACCAAACTTTTGAGCTTTTGAAAACCTGAGTGAGCAGTGAGAGAGAGTGTGTATGTGTGAGACAAGGGGGTGGGGGAGAATGAGAATGAGTATTCAGGAGCATAGCTATGGTTGTTTGAAAAAGATAATTGTCGTGAAATACAGAGGTAGTAAAAGAGATGGAGGCAAAGGACATTAGAGAAATAAAATATGCACTAAATGGAGTGGGTGAAAGAAGGGATACAATGATTGCAAAATTTGGGGCATGAGCAGTTGATCTTGGAGGGATCACAGGTTTAAGATAAGAAGTTATATTTGTATCTAAAGTGAACCTGCCGGTCAAGAGATATGGCTAGCAACTAACTCTATATAAAGTGTCCTGCATTTTAAAGGAAAGAATATAAAAACATGAGATGAGCATTTGAATAAAGTGCATAGCATAAGAAATGGCACTAGGATATAAACATTAAGTGGACAAGGACAGCTCTTTACTAGATCAGAGTTACTATTTACCTGTGGTATGAATGCCAATTACAGGTAGGGGGGGTCCTATGCCAGAATTATTTTTATCTTATTAGAAAATTAATTTATTAATAAAATAAAAATGTGTCAAGAGGAAAAAACATCTGAAATTTTGTAACTTAGAAATAACATTTATTATTTATATGTGTATATTTTTATATACTACATAAATACATAGTATATAATGTTTACTGAGATCTTACCATTTGCCAGGCACTGTTTTCCATTTAGTAACTCATTTAATTTCAGAGTGATCCTTTAAGGTGGGTATTTGTGTGCCTGTCTTAAAGACTGGGAAACAGAGGCATGAGAGGTTAAGACTTTGCTGAAGTCTACACAGTTAGGAGAGTATAAAGCCAGAATTCAAACACAGAAAGTTTTAATTTCCTAGTTTTTTATCTTATAACTATCTTGTTACATCTCTCACGTACTGTGCTGACACAGGTATCCTTTCTGACTGACATTCTCACAATCCAGTGCAGAAACCAGAGTCATATGATTAAAAAAAAAAAAGATTTCTTTTGTATTTGATTCTTGCTAGTTACTAACCAACATTCAATAACCAGTTACATTCATGGACTATCTTTTGCTACCCATAATTGAATTTATAATACAGAATAGTACTAATATACATACAAACACAGACATATATATTGTACACATATTACATGGATGATGAATGTACACACATTTGACAAAATTTTTATTAGTTTTAAAATCTTGAGCATAAAATAATTTACCTGACTTATACCAGTTTTTGTCTAGTTTAAGTCTCTGTGTTGTGCCTGTATACAATTGTTAATTTGACCCAAAGTAGAGAGATGACAGGGATTTAGAAAATATTGCTGATTCTGCCGCTGAGTCCTATAATACTAAATTAATCTGCACAGTTAGTTGCAACAGTACATATCAGAGACTTAATTCTCTTTGCCAAATTGATAATGACTAATCCTAATTGGATGCCTACATTTTCAGAAAGATGTGCCGGATGGGGTAAAAGAACTATCAGAAGGTTCAGAAGAAAGCAGTGATGGTCAGTCAGATTCCCAGAGTTCTGAGCACAGCAGCAGCAGCAGTGACGGTGGCAGCAACAAGGAGGGAAAAAAGAACAGGTGGAAAAGGAAAGGTAAATCTCCCCAATCCCCCAATAAAGTACTGAATGCTATAGGATAAATGCCCTTGTTAGTAGTAGTTCTTTTTTTGGACCCCAGGTCAGTTAGTCTCCTTCCCTTACCCTTTTGATCACTACTGCCCAGTAGAATTTCCTGCAGTCATGGAGAGTTCTATATCTGTGCTGTCAAGCCCAACAAAGTAGCCACTAGCTACATGTGTCTACTGAGCACTTGAAATATGGCAAGTGTGACCAAAGAACTGGATTTAAATTTTGTTTTAACTTAAATTTCAGTAGTCACTTGTGGCCAGTGGCTACCACATTGGACAACACAGCTCTGGGTTTTACCTGGGTTTGTTTTCAGCCGTTGGTCTTTTATAGCCCTTTTTAAGATGCTCTGATTTTATTTGCCCTTTTAATCCTTTCTTCTAAAATTTGAGCACTTACTACTCTTAACAACTCTCTGCTTACTAGGAAAAGAATGCTTTTCATTTCTTCTAGCAAAGACTAAATGTAGTCTGCTTGTCTTCGCTTTCATCCCTTGCTTCACAGCTTACCAAAAACACTTTTCCTTAAGGAATAGTGTCTTCATTGCTACAGCTTTCCTGGGTTGGATTTTTCACTTAAGAATACATTTTATTATTTATTCTTGCAAATCATCTGTAGCTTCTTGTCAGAGCCTTAAAGAAAGCAAATTGTTTTTACCAAAATATTAGTGACTTAAGCTGTACATGGCAAGGCAGATTTTAATCCAACTCATTATACTTCCTTCCTTCACAAGGGCTTCTTTTACTCTGATCTGATTTTCCAGAGCAAAATAGACATCCAAGAGGTTCCCTAGTTTGGAAACTCGCTTGGGTTTGAGTTTTTGGTGAGCTGTCTTTGGATCTGAAATTAGAGTTATGTTTTTTGGAATACTTGACTCATTAATTTTAAGTGCCTTTAGAACTATCAGAGAAGCAGTCTTATTATCATCCCTGTGTTAATGTGTGTGCTACTCCTGGAGAGAATTGAGATAATTGGTGCATCATCTGGGTTCTCTGGTATAGCTACTACCTGCGCAGTTTGGGCAGATTTTGTGGTTGTGAGGATCTTATCTTTAAGAACAAAACCACTTGGAGAGCAACCCAGACCTCAAATGTTGGGACTGAATGGAATAAAGTAGGGACAGAGCCAGGACTTATGATCAGTATTCTGATAAATATATCCTGAAAGTGATCTCTGTCAATAGTGAAAGGAGGTATGGTCCAGGCCTATATTCTTTACACATTAAGGACCTTTTTTGGAAGGGTAGAGCTGACCATTTTAAAAGCTCTGTCTCTTCTGTGCCTCCAGTTTCAACTTTTCTTTTTAAGTTTGGAAATTGTTGATCTGAGAATAGGAAGCCAGCCAAGTCATCAGGCTGGAGAAACAGTTAGCAAGATTCTTCATGTCTGAGTGTGGCTGGAAATGGAAATCAGTATTAAAGAAGGCCAGACTAATAAACCGAAAGCAAAATCACGGTCTTGGAGGTCTTGACTTTTCAATAGCCACATATGCTGCATTAGCTGTTATGAGTAGTGGCTGTTGCGGTGTTGTTAAAGTCTGTCTCTGAGAATTTAAATGTATTATGCTACAGGAGGATCTAAGAAATAATAATAGAACCCCATTGTCAGTAGTTTATGAGGTTGATTAAAATGGCATAACCTTGCCCAGTACTCAGCGTATTAATAGAAGATACTAACAGCTAAGTTAGCAAAATCAAACTTATTAATAACTAATAAATTTTAAAATAAGTAAATTGTGTGGAACTGCCTTTCATTCCCTCCTTTTCTAGAAATTGTCACAAAATTGAATATTTACCAGTATTACAATGAAATGTTCCATCAAGATCTTTTCTGATTGCGAGTAGTCTGTGGAACTGAGAGTAGAATGGGCTGTGTGGTGGTTTGGAAGGTGGAGATGAGAGGTGCACATGACATTGTATGGAAGTCATGTTTACTGTAGCAGCTCCGATATTCTTAAGAACTGAATAAATGCTGAGTTGTTAACGATGAAGAATGATTTAGTCTCTCATTTATGGGTCATACATATGGCATATATATGTACATTTTTAGGTATGTATTATAGATTTATGAATGTTTTTGTAGTCCAGTGCAAATTAAAGTGGAAAACTTGTAGTTAGCAGTGGTAATAGCAGTATGCAGCAGATCAGTACTAATCAGTTGCAGTTGTTAATAAAGGTAAAGCAAACTAATTGTACCTATCCTTTTTCTTATTTAGGGTTTTTACTCTCAATCTGACATCACTTTATTTCAAATGCATTGTAAGACAGGAAGAACATAGAGATAGTATCAAAACCCACTTCCTTTTATGTACAAAAATAAAGAGCTCTGACAGCAAAACTGATACTTCTGGTTGAAAATCGATAGAAACACTCTTGATAGAAGTGTACCTTTCAGCCAAATAGGAATAGAGAACAGAGCTTTGAAATTCAGCCCAGTATTAAAACTAGTTTATTGATTTCCATGGAAAGTGGAAGAACTTAGAAGCTTGTAGTTTTGGTAACTAATTTTCAGACAGGAAGCAATGTTCAGAGAAGAGTTTTATGGAATTCCAAGCCAAGGTAAGGTGGAATGCCAGAAAAATGATTAAAATTCATTTTTTTTCTGTTGCTTTTTTGGTAGGATCATAGCTATGTAAGTCTTTTTTCAAATATTACAGTATGAAGCAACTTCAGAAGTATTATTTTTATCTTCTGATAAAGTTAGTTTGATTTTGTTCTACTTTTAAAATGTCTTAAGAAAAAAATTAATTATATGAAATATGCCTTTTCACCTACAAGGAATTACTAATTCTTTCCAGGAGCATGACCTAATGTTAATTTTACTGCTTGTTCAGAGCTACTTTAAATCAGGAATTTGATACACACTGTGTTTGCAGTTAGAATACCATAGAGCTCCCTGCCCTCTAACATCATTTTATATGTGTTAAGTTACTGAATGGGGATGATTATGTATAGAAATGTCTCCTTTATAAAGTACACTGGGGAGAAAAACTCCTGTGGGCAAAGTTACCTTATGTGGGGAGAGACGTTTGGGAGAGATGTTCTATTTCTCCTCTGGGCGGTGGTGGCTGAGTTTGAGGTTTTAGCTCTGTCAGTTATTATAGATGACAACACTGTTAATGTTAAGACTTGGATAGTCAGGGCACCCAGAAGCAAGGGAAGGTGTTCAGGTATTGCCTCTCCATCTTTGATTATGGGACTGTTTGAATATCATCAGGAGCCACAGTCTGCACAGTTTGGAGTGGATTATACTTGTTGCTGTGGGGAGAAGGGGCCTAGAACTAAAGCCTGTTACTTCTGGAAAGGAAATTCCTCTAAAGAAAGACTATTGTGAAAATAAGATCTCTCCTTTTAGAGAAGGGTTACTGTTTCTAAAGATAAACACAATTTTGGAAACTTCAATTGTTATCACTGTTTCTGCTATTAATCCTTCAGCTATGTAAAGTTAGGTTTTAATTTTGATATTACTGCTTTATTATTTCTGATAATCTCTTTAATATTTCAGAGGGGCCTATTGAATGTTTTCAGGAGAAGATAAATTATTGTCAATGATTATTTACTAAAGCTTTAAATTCAAATGTATTTAATATGCATACTCCATATTTTATTGACCTTGTTCAATATAATAACCATCCATTGAAATGAGAAATTCTCCATGCTATAAAGTATTTTGTGAACATAGACTCAGTGGGTGTACAGAAATATCCAGCAACAGAAACACTCAGCAACTACTTTAGTAAATTATGCAGTACTGTCTTTAATGAGCAACAAATTTTAAACTTTTAAAAGTTTTCTTGACTAGGTTGCTCTTTGTTTTTTGGGATGACCTTCTTTGTTTTTTAAAATCAAACAATAAATAGTTGCTGATCTTCTGACCAGAATTTGTTAATGTTTTGTTTTGGCTATATGTTTATATGAAAGCAGGCATTTTTGTTTCCAATCAGATACTAATATGTTGTTCAGTGAGTGCTTTTTAATCTGTAGAGCAGTTCATATTGGAGGACTGGTAGATCAGGATATATTCTTGAGAAGTGTTTAGGCCATTATTTATTTACAAAATCAAAGAAACATCTCTGTTTAAAATATTTGCTCTACTAGCCTTTTTCCATTATGTACCATTTGCCAGGTATTTGGGAAACCAATTTGAAATGATGTGGGTTCCATCTGTATCCAAATGTATAGAAAAATAAGCAGATAGTAGCAAGTAAGAAGTGACATTTTCATATTTATCATATTATGGCAGAATTAGAGAAGATAGTAAACTTTACCTGGGTTAGCAAGTATTGTGTGAGATAATAGAAAACTTTAATATGCTCTGTTTCCCCTGAGAGTGTAACCTCTAGTGAAGACAGGACATATCATGAAGGGAGAATGTATTTAAAGACCAGAAGGTGTAAGTGTGTATGCACTGTTTCTAGGAAACCATAGGGGAAAAGTTTGATTGGAAGGGGGGATTTGTAGGAAAGAAAAAAGAGGAAAGAAGTTGGGATCAGACTGTTATGTTACCCTTTAGTTTTAGTCTCCATTATTTATAGGTTGTAGGTGTACATAAAGTAATTTCTTAGGAAAATTAAGATATGTAATATGAATCAGAGAATGACAACATGGCTGACTCACATTTTCATAGCTACATACTAAGAGGAACAAGATTTATGTCTATTGACTTTTTCTATTTGTTTTATCCTCTTATCCATTTAGTTATCTGAGTTATATATGAGCTGCTTTGATTTGTTTTTCTACTCAATAGTGTTTTTTTTTTTAAATTTAAAGATTTTTACTTATTTTTAGAGAGAAGGGAAGGGGGAGGAGAAGGAGAGAAACATTGATCTGTTGCCTCTCACACCCTCCCAACTAGGGAGGGACCTGGCCCGCAACCCCATGTGCTCTAACTGGGAGTCAAACTGCTTTTGGTTTGCAAGATGACACCCAACCCACTGAGCCACACCAGTCAGGGCAGTTTAGTTTAGTTCTAATCATTGGTATACAGATGATGAAAGAATTCATTTCCATTCTACTCTCTCAATTCTCTTACACCTCATTTATGTGTTTCACTCTATTGTCCTTCACAGATCTTTTTTTTTTTTTTTAAAGCAAGTGGAATGTTTGTGACAACCCTGCATTGCATAAGTCTGTCGGTGCCGTTTTTCCAACAGCATTTGCTCTCTGTCACATTTTGGTGATTCTGAAGATATTTCAGACATTTTTGTTGTTATATTTGTTGTGTTAATCTGTGACGTTACTATTGTAACGTTTTAAAGCACCACAGACTATGTCCATTTAAGATGGTGAATTTAACTGATAAATGTTGTGTGTGTTCTTATTGCTCCCCCAACTGGCCATTCTCCATCTCTTTCCTCTTTTTGAGCCTCCCTGTTTCCTGAGATACAGTGATATTTAAATTAGGCCAATAAATAACCATACATCGACCTTTAAATGTTCAAATGAAGAGCCTCACTTCTCTCACTTTAAATAAAAAACTAAAAATATTAAGCTTAGTAAAGAAGACATGTCCAAAGCCAAGATAGGCCAAAAGCTAGGTCTCTTGCATCAAACACTTGAAGGCAAATTTGTGAATGCAAAGGAGAAGTTTGTGAAGGAAATTAAAAGTGCTATTCTAGTGAACACACAGATGATAAGAGTGTAGAACGGCCTTATTTCAGATATAAAAGTTACAGTAGTGTAGATGGAAGATCAAACCAGACATAACACTTTCTTAAGCCAAAGCCCAATCCAAAGCAAGGCTCTACAGTTCTGTGAAGCCTAAGAGAGGTGAAGAAGCTCAAGAAAAAATGTTTGAAGCTAGCAGAGGTTGGTTCATGGCGTTATAGAAAAGAAGCAGTCTAGCAGAAAAGAAACAAAAAAGTATAAGGTGAAGCAGCATGTGCTGATGCACAATAGAAGTGATGGCAAGTTATCCAGAAAATCTAGGTAACATAGTTAATGAAAGTGGCTACACTAAACAACAGATTTTCAATGTTGACAAAACAGCCTTCTATTGAAAGAAGATGCTGTCTGGGACTTGCGTAGCTAGAGAGAAGGCATTGCCTGGCTTTAATGCATAGGCTGACTCTCTTGTTAGGGGCTGATGCAGCTGGTGACTTTAAGTTGAAGCCAGTGCTCATTTATCATTTTGAAAATCCTAGGGCCCTTAAGAAGTATACTAAATCTGCCCTGCCTGTGCTCTGTAAATGGAACAACTAAGCCCGATGATGACATATCTGTTTACAGCATAGTTTATTGAATGTTTTAAGCCCACTGTTGAGACCTGCTGCTTAGTAAAAGATTCCTTTCACTCTGTGACTGCTCATTGACAATACACCTGATCAGGCACTCTGATGGAGATTTGTAATGAGATAAGTGGTTCATGCCTGCTAACAGCATCTTTTCTGCAGCCCATGGATTAAGGAATGGTGTTGACTTTCAAGTCTTATTTAAGAAATACATTTTTCATAGAATTATAGCTGACCTAGATAGTGATTCCTCTGATGGATCTGGGCAAAGTAAACAGAGTATCTTCTGGAAAGGATTCACCATTCTAGATACTATTAAGAACATTTGTGATAATATGGGAAGAGGTCAAAATTTCAACATTTACAGGCGTTTGAAGAAGTTGATTTCAACCCTCCTGTATTACGTTGGGGGTTCAAGACCTCAGTGGAAGAAGTAACTGCAGATGTGGTGGAAAGAGCAAGAGAGCTAGCATTAGAAGAGTGGCCTGAAGATGTGATGGAACTGCTGCAATCTCATGATAACACTTGAATGGATGAGGAGTTGCGTCTATGCCTAAGCAAAGAAAGTATTTTTTTGAGATGGAATCTACTCTTGATGAAGATGCTGTGAAGATTGTTGAAATGACCACAAAAGATTTAGAGTATTACATAAACTTAGTTGATAAAGCAGAGGCAGGGTTTGAGAGGATTGACTCCAATTTTGAAAGAAGTTCTGTGAGTAAAATGTTGTCAAACAGTATTGCATGCTACAGACAAATCTTTCATGAAAGGAAGAGTCCATTGATGCAGCAAACTTCGTTGTTGTCTTACTTTAAGAAACTGCCACAGCCACCCAGCCTTCAGCAACCATCGCTCTGATCAGTCAGCAGCCGTCAACACTGAGGCAGTACCCTCCACCAGCAAAAAGATTACAGCTCGCTGAAGATTCAGATGACGGTAAGCATTTTTTAGAATAAAGTGTCTTAAAATAAGGTACGTACATTATTTTTTAAAAGGTTCTGTTGTACAGTTAATAAACTGCAGTATGGTGTAAAGCAACTTTTATGTGCACTGGGAAACCAAAAAATTAGTGTGACTCACTTCATTGCCATGGTCTGGAACTGAACCTGCAGTATACTTAAGGTATGCCTGTCTAACATTATGTTAGAGGGATTTATCTCATCCTAAGTAAGCAAGAGAAAGCAGTTGGAACAGTGAGTGACAGGAGGGTGAGGGTGTTGTATGCTGTGCCATGGTATCATGTGGATGGTGCAAGCAGGCTGAATGTGTGAGTGGACGCATGAATGTGAGCGTAAGTGGGGTATGTAAGGTGAGGGTGTCTCCCCCTGCATCCTTGCCCTCTACCCCCAGCCTCCACATTGATCTTATTTGATGGGGTTGTGTCTCCAGCCCCACCAGACCAGCCTGAGATGAAAAGCTCTCCTCCTGTGAAGTACCATCCTCCGGGTGCAAGGCCCCTTGGTAGCAGCAACATCAGGGTCTCAAGAGAGCCATTTCCACTGGGCCAGTGCTTAGAAGTGATGAATTGATCAGATAGATGGGGCCGGGCTTATCCTGGGCCACTGATTCTCCAGTGGATTGTAGTCTGAAAAAAGTGACAAGGGAAGGAAAAACTACCTCTGTGTGTGCAGATAATCACATTATCTAAAAAACTTAAATCTTTATCTCTACTGAGATAAAAATTGACAAAGAAGAGAATTTAGTAAAGTAGCAGGATGTAATGAGTGCAATTAACATATAACAGACAGCCATCAATATATAGATGATAATCAATGAAAAGAGAGCATATTTGTGATAAGTACATCACCACCAACAGAAGGTCTAAGTATGACGTTTGTAAGATATGTGCAAAAGCGTTGGAACAACTGAATAGCCAAAAAATAAAAGTGAATTTATTTCTCATAACATACTCTGGGGTAAATGCCAACCAAACAAATAAAAGATGTAATAAATGTAAAATATGATACCAGGTACTTAAGGGGAACATGTGAATTCCTTTTAAAACCTGAGAATAGGGTTTAACAACAAACTTTCTATTCTCCTGGAAGCATGTTTTTATCCTTTCGCTTAGCAAACCTACTTCTAAGAATCAATCCATAGATACATTGTCAAAAATGCAAAATAGCATAATAGCTTAAGACCAGTGCTTCTCAAACTTGAGCATGCTTCAGAATCACCTGCAGATCTTATGATGCAGATTCCTGGGTCTTGCCCTGAGAGTTTCTGACTCAGTAGATCTGGGTTAGGGTCCAGTAATTTGCATTCCCCACAAATTTAGGAACACCTTAGGTTAAGATATTGCAGTAATGAGAGCAAACGACCAGAAAGAACCAAAATATCAAAGTCTAGTTAAAGAAAATCATGGTACATCTGCCCAGTAGAATTCTATGCAGCTATTAAAAGGAACATGAAAGATCTCTACATTATATTGTAGGATGTTCCCCAGGATATCTTAATTAAATTTTAAAAAGTTAGTGGACAGTTTATAGCACACAATATTTTGCTTAAAAAAAATTGCCCTGAGCGGGTGGTTCAGTATACCAAAAGGTCGCAAGTTCAGTCACTGGTCGGGGTGTATACAAGAGGCAACCAATCAGTGTTTCTCACATTAGTGTTTGTTTCTTTCTCCCCCCTTCCTCCTTTCCTCTCTCCCTTTCTAAAATCAAGAAATATATCTGTGGATGAAGATGAAAACAAAGAAAGAGAAATGAGTAAAAGTATTAAAATATATACTATGGTTTCATCAAAATAGAACTATTAACTGATTTCCAGTAGGGGAAGAGAAGTAATAAATTGCTGTAAACAACAAAGGTAGCCAGACTTACATGAAAGTATCTTGTTTTATATTGGATTGGCCAAAAAGTTTGTTTTTTTCTGTATGATGGCTGTGGTAGCACTTAGTTGTCTTTCAACTTTTTGAAACAATTTTGTTAGGTTGTATTGTGATAGCTGTCATATCAGTGTGCATTTAAAAAAAATCAAAATTGGTGAGTTTTTGTGTAGTCATTTAAATACTGAAGACGGAAAAAATACACATTTCACCATATTATGCTTTATTATTTCAAGAAAGATAAAAATGCAACTGAAATGTAAAAAAAAAAAAACGTTAGTGCAATGTTTGGAGAAGATGCTGTGACTGACTCAACCTGTCAGAAGTTGTGTGTGAAGTTCATGCTGGAGATTTCTCGCTGGACAATGCTCCATGGTTGGTAGACCATTTGAAGTTGATAGCGATCTAATTGAAACATTGAGAACAAGCAACATTCTACCATGCAGGAGCTAGCCAACATACTCAAAGTTACTGGTGAAAATGAAAAATGTGCTTTTTTTTTTACTGTAAAAAAACCCACAAAAAAAATCCAAAAAATCAGACTTTTTGGCCAACCCACTATCATTACATAATTAAAACAATTATAAAAATGTTATCCAGAAATAGGAAGCAACTTAAAGCAAACTCAAGTGTACATCTAATTTGTTGCATAATGACATAGGTAAGTTACTGTGGACTATTTCTTAGCTGTGAGAGTCCACAAAGAAATCTTAAATTGCATTCAGCAGTCTTATTTTCAGCAATTAATAACATGGGTTTTTTGAAACTGGATCTATAATAGGAAGTTAATAATTACAAAAAATGTTTTTTTAAGACCCAGGACTATCAGGAAAGAAGAATAGTGAAAGAAATATAAACTCTATATAAACTCTATCTATATTTCTAGATAGAAAAGTTAAATACCAGTCATGTAATTCTAAATTTGAGTTTGTTATGAGCATGATTTATTTTTCTCCTTAAAAAAAAAAAAAGACTTGTTGTAGCCATTGAAAAGTCCTAGAACCAGGGGTAACCCAGTAGCATGGTAGCACCCCAGGTGTGTATAGTGCATGGCATTTTACTACCATTTCCAATGAAAAGATATTAGCTTCTTGGAGAAGTAGTTGATCAAATTCTGAGAAAAAAAATTATGCAAGATTTGCCTGAGACTCTTTTGTGCTAGATTGCAAGGAAGCAGTTAAATACTCCTGGAGCCATGTCCCAAAGGTAGTTTACAACTTGGAGTTCCCACTGTCCCAAAAGGGGATAATTTGCGTGCCAGATTTGTCACGATTGCTTTTGACTTAAACAGTTAAATTATATAAACATCTATGATTTGATAATGATACTTTTAAAAAAGTAAGTTTTAGCTATAGTGTTAGTTTTCTGAAGCTGCTATAACAAATTAGCAAAAACTGGGTGTCTTAAAACAACAGAATTTTACTTATTTACTCACAGTTCTAGAGGCCAAAAGTCTGAAATTGAGTTGTTAGCAGGGCTACAAGTCCCTGCAGAAGCTCCAAGGGGAGGATTCTGTTCCTTGTAGTTTCTAGTTCCTGTGGTTACTGACCAACTTTGCCTTATTTTCACATTGCCTTCTCTTCTGTGTCTGTCTTCTCTGTTATCTCAGGATACTTATCACGGGATTTAGGGCCCACTGGGAAGATCCAGGATGATCTTCTCTTCTCACGATCCTTAACTTAGTTACATCTGCCAAGACCCCTTTCCCAAATAACATATATAGGTGTTGGGGATTAGGACATAAACATGCCTTTTTGGTGGCCACCATTCAGCCAACTATAAGTAGCCACTTACTCTGAAAATGTACCAAGGTTAAAGCTTGGCTATGCTTCTTAATAGCTTTGTCTTTTGGCAAGATAATTAAATTTCCTGATCAATATAATTTAGATAGCATCACCACAATATGCAGATTAATGTATATAAAATTTACATGTGAGGATTTTTTCATCTTTTTATTTGTGTAGAAGAATACCAGTAAGGATGGCAATCCAACTATATTTAGTTATTTTAGAGGATAGGCATTTGGTGGGATTTAGAAAGAGAACTTATTTATAGTCACCTTAAAGTATAGTTACAAGAGTGTACCGAAAACCTGTTCGAATGAACCTAGCACAGATTGATCGTATTAATAAAAGTATGTGTTTTTGAAGATAGTATTTGTTCACTAAAAGGAATTACAGGAGATGAGTTTCTTAACAAGTATATGAATCTTTGTGTTTAAATCTTGTTTGCTGTTTGTAGTTCTTAGCCTTTAATACAGTATTTAAATGTTAGAATCATGTTTAAGTTTCATAGAAGTTATGAGACCAATACTTGGCATTAAGTCACCCCTGGGAGGTGTTCTTCACTGGTGAGTCCTGGTATCTATGATTTAGTTCAGTTGGCTTCAAGATATGTTTATGGTTTTAATTCTTTAGAAAGGGCTTTTGCCTTAAGGGGAAGTATTCCAAACATTTGCTGTGGTAATTACAGATAATTTTATTCTCTCTTTTCCAGGCTGCAAAGTAGAATTCTTATCTGGCGAGTTTATTTTAGTTTGTTTTCTGTTTATTTTTAGGCAGTATTGGAGGCAGGTGAGGGAATGTATGTTCTCAGATTTATACAAACCATTAAAAACAAAATAAATGTAGTTAAATATTAGTAGTCTTAAACTTTATTATGTCCCTTTAAAAATGGTGAAATAAAAAAGACAATAACAAGTGCTGACAAGGATATGGAAAATTAAAAGTCTTACATATTTCTGGTGGGAATGTTAAAATAGTTTGTCCATTTTAGTAAATAATTTGACAGTTTCTCAAAAAGTTAAACAGGGTTACAGTAAGACCCAGCATTTCCACTTTTAGATAATGAACTCAGGAGGATTGAAAACTTGTGTCCATATCATTGTTCATAATGGCCAAAAAAAATGGGAATAAACCTGATGACCATCAACTAATGAACAAAAAATGACATATGTGTACAATGGAATAGTATTCAAAGAGCCCATCAGCAAATGAGGGGATCAGAAAACTGTGGTAATGTTTACACAGTGGAGTACTACACAGCAGAAAGGAGGAGCTCTTGGCATCAGCATGAATGGAACTGGAGAGCATTATGCTAAGGGAAATAAGCCAGGCGGTGAAAGACAAATACCATATGATCTCACCTATAAGTGGAACCTAATCAACAAGACAGATGAGCAAAATACAACCAGATATTTGGAAATAAAGAACAAACTGACAGTGATCAGAGGGAAGGAGGAAGGGAGATAACAGGGAAAGAACGGGAAGGGTCAAGCAAAGGAACACGCATAGAAAACTGATGGGCATGGACAGTGGGGGCAATTGACTGTGGGGGCAGGGGTTGGGGGCGAGCAAGGGGGAAAAAGATGGGACAACTGTAATTGAACAACCATAAATTAAAAAAGGGGGGGGTGAAGTATTGATACATGCTGTAACATAGGTAAACCTTTGAAATATGCTAAATGAAAAAAGCCAGTCCCATTTATATGATGTATTTAGAATAGGTAAATGCATAGAGACAGAAAATAGGTTAGCCTAATTCTAGGGAAATAGATTAGGGAAAGGGGAATGCCAGTGAACTTGTACAGGGTTTTTTAGTGGGTAATGAAAATGGATTTTGGTGATGGTTGTACAGCTTTGTAAATATATTAAAAGCCATTGAATTTTACATGTTAGGTGAATAGTATGATACATAAATTATATCTCAGTGAAGCTGTTATTTTTTAAAAAATTGGTCAGCATCTGAATGCACTGAGGATATGATTTCTGATTGCTCAGGCATCTCAAGAAGTATCTAACTTTATTTTTGTGTGATATGTTACAATGAACTTTTTAAAATGTCACTTGCTGTATGTCAGTTCTTCCCCATATATAGATTGTATCATAATGGTTGGGATAACAGCTAAAGCTATGCAGACAAGACACCTTAATATTGTCTGTTCTTGTCCTCTTCAAGTATTATCTACTGTGTATTGTTTTCTTAGGACATCTAAGAGTCCGTTGAAATTCTGTGTTCCGGAATTGTGTATTTCAGTGAACCATGCTTCTGCATTTTCATATTAGGGTAGCTACCTACAAGCATCCTTTTTTTGCTATCTTAAAGTTCTTTAGTCCATACCATGGAATGCCATTTTGCTATCAAGCCTTTTCAGTCCTACTACCACAAAAGGAGAAGGCATTAGTAAACATGTCCTCTTCAAAGTCATCACTAGCAGTAGTGATGATTATTTTATTATTAAGGGGTCTGAACCAACAATTTATCTCTTACCATAAATAATGCACTGTTGAATTTTATAGAACATGAAGATCAGTTGTTCTTTATTATAAGAGGTATAGGCTCTTAAAGGGGAAGACCTTAATTCAAATAAGTATAAGACACCTGTGGCAAACACAAGGCCCATGGGCTGAATCCGGCCCTCCACCTTGCTTCTGCCTGGCGGCAGTGCTGAGCTCTCATTTAACTGTTAAGGAGTAGTTCCATTTATACAGTCCTAAAATTACATTTGGCCCTTTGAAGGCAACTGTGAGGCTGATGTGGCCCCCAGTGAAAATGAGTTTGACACCCTTTGTACTATAAGGTTTGGCTAAGTTCTTGGGTATAAAACAGCTAGTAATGAAGCGGAGAGTGGTTACACTTTGTTGACCTACGTTGCTTCCATTAGAGAAATTCTACAGTGTCCTCTCACACGGTTAGCAGGAATATCAGTATTAAAGCTATGGTAGAGTTGTTGAGGTAGAATGGGCTTATTCTCTTTGTTTCAAAGACAGGGAAACTGGGAGCTATTCTGTCGATCCAGGTTTCTTCTACTATATCATGTTGTTGTTAGATTAACTTGAAGAACACACTGTCTGTCCAACAGGCTCTATAAAGTCTTTTCTAAGTTTTATCTAATTTGGTGACTAATGGTTTATATTCTGCTTCCTGCTTCTTCATTCAATTCTATTGAAAAATTAGAGAATGAAAAGTAATGAATACTAATAACACCCACCCCTTCCCCCATCCTATCATCCTTCACTAGAGCTTTCTGAGGAAATAAACTGAAAAGGGAGGCTGTTTGCCGTAGAACTCGAAAAGAAGATCCTTCCCAAAAGTGTTTGGTCACAGTTCTTAATACAGGTAGCAGCATATGATTGGGGAAGGAATGGTGCTTGATATCAACTCTAATAACAGATTTTTCATTGTCATTTTCCCCCCCAGTATCATCTAGACTGTCACAGCCATCCTCTCCCCAGTCAGCCTGCCCATCGCCCACCATTCCAGCAGGTAAAGTCATTTCTCCATCACAGAAGCACAGCAAGAAGGCACTAAAGCAGGTAATCATGCTAGTCTTTGCTTATCAGAAGTATAATCTACATTAACTCTGGCAGCCAATGAAAACGCCTTAAAAAGACATTATGTCCTTTTAAGGAGAGATTTCATGCAGCTTTCCCAATTTGGATTTAATAATTTTTACACCTTTGTATCATAGGTCGGTAGTAATATATTCTTTTTATTACCCTTTCATTTGTTCCTAATTTGCTAAGAGGTTTGTGTGTGTATGTATGTGTTTTAAATTGTGAATAGGTGTTGATTATTTTTCAGGTTTGTATTCTTCAGCATTTATTAAGATAATCAGGTAGCTTTTCTCTTTAAATCTAGTACTTAACAGAATTCCACCACTAGATTTTCTAATGTTAATCTATACTTAGCTCCCTGAAATAAACTATTATTTATATATAATATATATAATATATTATATATAATATATTATATAATATATACAATATATTTATATGTAATAATATATATTATATATAAAATATATAATAATAATATATATAATATATAATATATTATATATATATATAAATGGAATTTATTTATTTATTTTTAGAGAGAGGGGAAAGAAGGGAGAAAGAGAGGGAGAGAAAAATCAATGCATGGTTGCCTCTCATACGCTCCCTACTGGGGGCCTGGCCCACAACCCAGGTGTGTGCCCTGACTGGGAATCGAACTGGTGACCCTTTGGTTCATAGTCCGGCACTCAGACCATTGAGCCACACAACCCAGGGCCTTGGTATTTTTCTATATGTCTATTTTGTTCTTCAGTGTTGTTCATTTATAATGTATCTTCTTTTTTCCCAATGTTAGTTGCCAGTGGTTTGTCTGTTTTATTGAGCTTTTCAAAGAACTAGCTTTTGGTTCTTTTGAAATTCAAATGATCAGTAAATATAAAGTCACTGATAGCTGAGAAATCTTTAAAATAGTAGACTATTTTTATCCTCAGATTGGTATGAAAATCTCCATTATATCAAGCATTGGCAAGTATGTGGGGAAATGGCTACTTGTAGTTTGCCAGTATATTATAAATTATTATCGTTATTTTGGAGAGAAATTTTGTAATACTTATTAAAATTTTAAATGCACATACCCCATAACTAAGCATTTGAACATTTTAGAACTAATGTTAGAAAAGTACATACATACATACATAAACACACCAAAAAATATTTGCATTAAAGTTTGTAATAGCAAAAACTTGCATGCTCTTTACCATTTAAAAAGTCATTTATTTTTTATTACCAAAAAAACTGATCTGTTTTGTTTCTTATAGTCGGTTTTCTCTTTCTAGGCTCTGAAACAGCAGCAGCAGAAGAAGCAGCAGCAGCAGCAGCAATGCAGGCCAAGCATGTCCATCTCCTCCAGTCAGCATCTGTCTCTGAAGACTGTCAAAGTGGCCAGTGACTCTGTAACTGCCAAACCTGGTAGGCAGATGTGGTGTTTTTTAATGGAGTTTTTTTTCTTATTGATTTTATTCAGGTGACATTGGTTAATAAAATTATTTAGGTTTTGGGGTAAATGGAAAATTTATGCAATATACTCCTGCAGTTATTAAAAAATACATCAGTGGTATCTGTTTGTTAGAATGAGATCCATGACTAACTTACCTTTCAAGGTATCTTACCTAATAATATTTGGAAGCCTCTAGCCAGTAACTCTAGAAAGTAGATGTTTCTAAAAGATGCTCAAACTGAACTCTTCACCAATTCTCTCCTTTAAAATAAAAGGTTTTACTAAGAATCCATGCTGCTTTTGAGTTTCCATTGGGCTCAGGCCTTTAGATTTTTTGTTGTTGCTTGTTTTGTTTTTAATTTAAACTGGCCTAGGTACAGACTTTGTGTTTTATTTCGCAATGCAGTTTGATGCCAGCTGATTATGTGTGCTCACCAGATTCACACTGTGTCTTGTAGAATTTTGCATTTATGTGAAGAAGAAAATTTACCACTAGAAGCAAATATTGTGCTGAGAAGAAGGAAGAGATTTTACTTTCCTTTTTCAGGCTTAGTACCTATACTCAAAACACATTTGCAAGGTCACATTGCCTCATATATAATTACTTTCAGTGTTGTGTGGTCTACTTGTTTGATTAGTTGATTTCTATCTATAACCTTAATGTCACCAGTCTTTTATATATTTTTCCCCCTAGCAATATGGGAAGGAAGGCAATCTGATGGACAGTCGAGCAGCCCGCAGAACTCTAGCTTTCCTTCTTCAGTTAAAGTGGAAAATCCTTTGCTAGGCTTGGGGAAGAAGTCATTCCAAAGGTCTGACAGACTGCACACAAGTGAGTTAATTTACAAAGACTCTATTTCCTTTTAAATTATTTTTCTTATTAAGTTAACCAAGTCTGTGTCTGAAATGTATCAGCTTCGTGGCTTAATTGGTCACCTATGAGGTCTTGATGATCTTTGTGTTCTTCCTGTCCTGCCTTTACCAAACTTTATTCACAATAAGATCTGCTATCAGCCATTTTGTGTTTGGCCCCCCCGCTTAATGGGTTGCTTTGTCCAGCATTATTTATGTTTTATTTCTAACTGCACAGAAAAGTAGAAGGGCTTATACTTAAACATGGAAAACTGAACCTTTTCCCTGTTCCCTTTGAATCCCACTAAAATGAGTATATGGAAATACAAAAGGTTAAAGTCCATAAAAATGAAGAAAATAAGGAAACAACAGACAGGCAGGCTGTCAACAATTTTAATAGATGACAGCTGGATGGAATTTTTTCACAGAGCTGAGGAGCAGATGCCACTGCTAACGAAGCCAGTTAAGGCTGTAGAATACCAGAAAGGTTCCAGAATGGGAGATGTCATGAATCATAGTAGAGAGGGTGAGGCATAGGGTTGAAAAGAAGAACCTTGTTTAAAAGTTGGTAAGAAGCAGTTTGATGCCTCAATCTAGTGGGAGACAGGAGGTTTATTTTGACATGAAATTAAACCATACAGATTTTAAAATCAGAGCTTGACTTTCAGAATGTTAGTAGTTAGGTATTGTTTCTACCACTAGATCCTTCCTCCTCTCCAGCTGTGCTGCAGCAGGAGATTGGTGGATTGGCAACTGAAGAAACAGAATAACCTTAGACAAAAAACAGGCAGGCAAATTTATAGATTCCCTACTAAACCGAGATTACCTTGGTCACACTTCTGTGGTGCTCTTCAGTCTGCAAAACCTACCCATTGTCCTCAGAATTTTCAGCCAGCCTTTTTAAGTGCCTGTTTTTAAGTTATGCTTACTAAGGATAACCTTTGAGAAAAATGTCCAGCCTGAAAGATAGAATATGAAATACAGACTCAGAAGAAGCACAAATTCAGGAAGGAAAAGATTTAAAACAAGTAACTCTTATTTTTTAATTTTTTATTCAATTTATTGAAGTTGTTGGGATGACATTAATTAATAAAATTATGTAGGTTTCAGATGTACAATTCTATATAAAGCAACTTTTAAAACTATTATACCCATAGAAATAAAAGATGTTGTACCCATGAAAGAGCAGAATATGATATTAAATATCAGAAAATAAACAGTTCTAGGATATTAAATAATGTGGTAGCAGAAATAAAAAATTATAGTAGAAATTCAAAAGGTTAAAGGTGGAAAAGTTTCCCAGAACATAGGTCTAAGGAGCATTTTGTAAGGGAAGAAAAGGTAAGAAAATTGAAACTTGAGGCTGTCTACCGTGTTAACTAGTAGGACTATTAGAAATGGAAAATAGAAATTGAAAGAAAGTTAACTAGTAAGAGAAGTAATAGAAGAAAGTTTCTGCCCTAGCTGGTGTGGCTCAGCGGAAAGGTTTGATTCCCAGTCAGGGCACATTCCTGCGTTGTGGGCAAGGTCCCCAGCTGAGGGTGTATGAGAGACAACGGATCAGTGTTTCTCTCACACATGTATGTTTCTCTCCCGCTCCCTCCCTTCTCCTCCTCTAAAAATAAATATATGAAGTCTATAAAAAAGAAAAAAAAGAAAGAACCCTGGGTTGTGTGACTCAGTGGATTGAATGCTGGTTTATGAACCAAAGACTTGCTGGTTCCATTCTCAGTCAGGGCACACGCCTGGGTTGCAGGCCATTTCCCAGTAGGGAGCGTGCTAGGGACAACTACACATTGATGTTTCTCTCCTCCTTCTGCCTCCCTTCCCCTTTCTCTAAAAATCATCAAATTGCAATCCACACAAATTTTAGACTGGAAGTATACAGTTGGTGTCAAGAAACATGAATAAAAAGAAACCTATTTTAAGGCACATTCTTTTGAAATTTCAAAACATCCAGGATAATGAGATTTGCAAAAAGCCTCCAGAGAGAGAGAAAAGAAACAATTCATATAAAAAGATTCAAGAATTGGAATGGCAGACATCTCAGAAACAACATACAAGCTAAAAGATTGTGCAGCAGTGCCCACAAAATTCCTTGGGAAAGTTTATTTTACACTCAGTTATGTGTTCCAGACCATCCCAAACTGTCGTATTAAGTTTGAGAACAGAATTTCAGACAACTTCTTTGTAAAAATCTAGTTTGATTCTAAGTGTGATTATAAATTCGTGTATTTTTCTTAAAGAGAGTATCTGCCATAAATTGAATATGCCTTTTGATCATCAGTTCCACTGCCAAAGATGAAAAATATTCACTTAATGAACAAATTCTTACAGAAGGTAAACTAATATGCCAAGCACAGATACAGGGCCCTAGAGATGTGGCAATAACAGAACAAAGTTTCTTCCTTTTGGGGACTATTTTCAACTCCAATTAAAGTCACAATTTTAGTATCTTCATTCAATAAAAGTAGAATTGTAGCTGTACAAAACTGAGAAATTATGTATTTAGAATTTCCAACTTTCATGGAAATCTAGGAAGCATTAACCATTTTAAAAAGAAGGCATGGTGTATTTCAGTATGATGTAATGGCTAAACATAAGTGAAAGTTTATCTTTCATGCAAATAAACGTTAAAGGAAACAATATGGGAATTTTTACATTTTGCCACAATGAGTATTTTCAAAACATGGAAGAAACTATATTTTGTGTAAAACATAAATGAAAAAACTAAATTAGGTCATTTATATGAAATTTAGTTAACATTAGTATACTTTGTCTTCAATAACAACATTTATCCTTTATTTTTATATCCCAGATTCAATGAAAAGAGTAAACAGCTCAGATTTCATTGTAATGGAATAGAATAAAACAACCTAAACTGTAGAAAAAGTAAGGTCAACTTTATCAAAATCAGAGGATTTAAAAATCTAAAAAGGAACTACTTTGAGGCACATAAAAGTATCCTCTGGGCACTATTTAATCAGAATAATTTACAACTGCTTCTCAGTTTCACTTAAGTTAAAATTTAACTAAAATTTGATTCCTGTGTGAAGGTGCAACATGAATGCAAAAATACGGTAGTGAAAACTACTCAAGGAATGCTGACACCCCCATGCTGTCCAATTATATAAGAAAAGGAAGCTAGGATGTTGCTTTTGAGTCTGTGGAGCTGCTGCAACATTATTATACAAACAAAATCTGGTAACCACCTGTGTGATCATCAGTGGGCTCCAATTAAATCATACATATGTTAGAATATGGTGCAGCTTTCTTTGCAAGAAAGAGGTGGATTTGTTTGGAAAGATGTTGAAGATATTCAGTGAAAGGAAAAAATATGATTAGTGTATATGTCATTTCATTTCTTCAAGTTAAAAGTGCCGCTTTTAGCCCTGACCGGCCTGGCTCATTGGGTTGGGCATCACCCTGCATAGCGAAAGGATGCCAGTTCGAATCTGCCTGGACACGTGCCTGGGTTGCTGGCCAGGTCCTCCTCAGTCGGGGGTGTATGAGAGAGCCCGTCAGTGTTTCTCTCCATCTCTGTCTTCTTGCCTTTCCCCTTCTCTGAAAATAAATAAAATCTTTTTTTTTTTTTTAATGCCATTTTTGGTAGGAAGCCCTGATTTGAATGTAGAAACATTTACTTTACATTTTATATATTTGGCACTATTTTAATAAGGACATTTACCTTTATCTTTCAACTACTGTTTTTATTATCATTTATTTTGAAAAGGTTTAAAATTTTTTATTGTGATTTTTCTTTTGTCTCATAAGTTACTTTGAAAAGAAATTTTATATTACCAAATATATAGGAATTTTTATATTTTTGTTGTGAACTTTTAACTTGGGGTCAGAGATCATGCACTGTATCATACCTGTGCCTATATAGTGTGGTGATAAAAAGCAGACTCTTAGGCCACATGGCTTGGTTCAAATTCCTGCACTGTAACTTAATAGTATAATGTTGGGCACATTACTTACACCATATCTGGGCCTCACTTTCTTCATCTTTGAGTTGATTTCCTTCTTCATTGGGTTGTATGAAAGTAAATGTGTTAATACCTACCGATGTTTAAAATACTGCCTGGTGCTTTGGGGGCCTATATAAATGTTTGCTGCTGCTGTTATTGTTGTTACTACTACTAGTACTACTTTGCATTTACTGAGGCATTTTTGGGAATAATGGTAAAGAATTTTATGATAGAAAATTCTTGGAATAATGGTAAAGAAAGTGTTTTATAATAAAACAAAAAATTTTGTGTTAATTGGATCAAGCTAGTCAGTGGGGAAAATAGCACAGCTTTTTTTCCCTTCTTGTTTGCACTCCTTTTAATGTGCTTGATTGAGTATTAATTGAGAGATGTGTTGAAATCTCCTGTCTTAAGGCTTTGTCCAATTCTCCCTGTTATTTTGTCAGTTCTTATCTCACATATTTTTGAAGCTGTCTTATATTAGATATTTTCATGTTTAAAATCTTGCTGGTGGATTGAGTCCTTTATCATTTTTTATTTACCTTATCAATCACTGATCAGATTTTTTACTTAAAGTGTCTTTTGTTTGATATTAATAAATGTACACCGATTTTCCTATGATTAGTTTTTCCCTGGTATATCTTTGTTCATTTTTCCTTGTGCTTGTGTTTTAGGTGTATTTCTTTACAGAGCATATTTCTTTACAGGGCTGAGTTTTATGTTTATTTATTCAGTGAGTTTTATTCATTTACATTTATTATAATTGATTATTTGGATTAGTTTCCGTTGTCTTTTTTTTTTTTTAAGGTGGGGGTGATCTTTGTCCTGCTTCTGTTTTTCTTGTTTTCCTTTTTTTAATTAAATGATTTTATTTTTAATTCTTACCTGAGGATATGTTCCCTGACCAGAGACAGAGAGAGACAATTGATGTGAGAGAGACACATTGATCAGTTGCCTCTGATATGTGCTCTGAATGGGGATTGAACCTGTAACCTTTTGGTGTTTAGGACAGTGCTCCAGCCAATGGAGCCACCCAACCTGGGGTAAATTCACTTTTAATATGAAGAATTTTTGGTTGTGGCTTACAAATATTTTTTTCACCTTTTAAACCTTTGTGAACTCAAATCTGTCTGATTGTTAACAGATTTCCTGAAATTGCTGAGCTATTTGATCATAACATTTTTAGGTAATGCAAATTCAAATTGTTGGAAAAAATTTTCATAAGAGAACAAGGACCCCAGTATAATTTATATATAGATTTGAATTTTCTATTTTTAAGTGAAATTTTATATGTGTTATTTATCATGAACTTCCTCATTTCTATTTGGGAAATAATCAAGTCTCAAACTAAAATGCACGTTTAGTATGGCAAAAGATTCACTATTCTAAACCTTTTTCTAGTTTTGTAGAGAAAATAAATTCCTTTTTTTTATCTTTTGTGAGTGAACAAAACTTGTTTTGTTAGCCTTAGAAGAAATTTATAAGAGCCTTAAGTGTTACTTTCTTCACAGTGTGATATTTAAAGTACTTAAAACTATAGTTGTTTTGTTTTGTTTTTTTCCTTTTTTTCCTTGCAGTGCAGAGCAAGCTGTAGTTTGACTAGAAGCAGGAATGTGAAGGAAGGCCAAATGATTCTTTTTTATCTTACAGGGCAAATGAAAAGGACTAAATGTGCTGAAATTGATGTTGAGACACCAGACTCCATTCTGGTTAATACAAATCTTCGCGCACTGATCAACAAACACAATTTTTCAGTCCTTCCTGGAGATTGCCAACAGCGACTGCTTTTACTGCTTCCAGAGGTGGATCGACAGGTGTGTGATTTCAAACATAAGCAGCGTTATAACCCTTCTGAAACTTCCTTCACTCATTCCCTTTAGAACTCCTTAAGTCTTTTTCAAGAGCTTTTTAGATGTACCTGTAAAGAAGTGGTGTCAAAGGTACTAAAAAAAAAAAATATATATATCTTTTTGTAAGTATTCTTAATAGGTTGACCATGTAAAGCTTAAAAAGAAAAATAACTCTTGTCAGAATGTCAAGATTATGTTAGGTTGGCTGAAAAGTCCTTTTAGTTTTTTCCATAAAAGGCATTTTTCATTTTTACCAATAACTTGATTGATTTGGGTATTTTGAGTATGTTGGCTGTCTCTCACTATTGGCTTCCATTGGGCAGAGGCCAGGGGTGCTGCTAAACATCTTCCAATGCATAAGACAGCCCCACAGCAATGAACTATTTGGCCAAAATGTTAATAACACCAAGAAACTTCACAGACCTCTTTTGACACATTTAATCAGTCACAGCACTTCTTCTGTACACTGCGCAAATCTTTTTTTGCATTTCAATTGTGTTTTTACCTTTCTTGAAATGATAAAGCATAATATGTCGAAAGTGTTGCATATTTTCTTCCATCTTCAGTATTACTATGGCTACACAAACTCACCATTTTTGATAAGTTTTTGTTAATTCATACTGATAGGACAGCTGTCACAATGCAATCTAAAAAAAAACTAAGCACCAATAGAGCCATCATATGGAATAAACGAAGTGAAGGTTCTGTTCAACCCAATAGAATAAAATTCATCTAGCTGTCATAGTAGGATGTAGGCATCCATAGAGTACAGTTCAAGAGGAAGAGTTGTCTTGTTTAAAGCATGAAACAGGGTTTTTAATGGATTTTTTTGAAGTGATCAAGACTGTTAATTTACTTTCATTCTCTTGTTAAATTTTTCTAAAATATGTATTGTTTTCATAATAAAGAATTTAAAAAACCAAATAAAAGTTACACTTAAAAAAAAAAAAGGTAGTTAGAAGAAACACCAAAGGTTTGGGAACAGTCTAGGCTGAGGTCAGAGAGATTTAGCCTGGTCAGGAATAAGGTGAGGATCTGAGCCCAGGCTTTCATCAGGGAAGAAGTGACTAGCAAGTACCTCCCCTTCTGATCCTCTGTTACCTCATGTGAAAGGAATACAGGACCATTATGATTTTCGTTAAGGTTGACTCAATTCTGAAATTGTTTTTTATTCAGCATACTTTCCAGAACCTAATATTTTCTAAGTAATCCAATTGCCCCCGCCTTTTCTAATCATAAAAACAAGATGAAAGATAGGTAGTTTTCCTAGTTTACAGTAAGAAGTAGATATATTCCTTAGTTAGAAGTTAGTGGAGAATAGTAAGCTGCACAAAATCATCATAATTAATTGTCTGTAAAGTAAAAACCAGGTCTGATTCTGAGTATCACCTCTCACCTCTCTAGTAGACCTAATTGATATCAATTGCACAGTGCTGTGAATCAGCACATGTAAAAGCAGGTCAGATTCCATTTCCAGGGGAGTCCGGATAAGTAATGTACACTACCATCAATGGGGACAAAGAAGTAAAACTGATCCTTCCCCACTTGATCACATCTTGGAGAAACTGGAGCTTTGCAGATGCCCAATTCTTGCTTGGATCAACTTAAGTGACTGATATCTTGGCAGAGTTTTAGCGAGTATCTTGTTAGGGATTGCTCTCATCTTTTTTCAAGCTTGGGTTATTAGGTTGGGAATAATAATAACACAGGACCTAACTGAAGGCCTATGGGTAGAACTGCATTCCTCAGAACTGTGTTTTGACTAATGGCCTTTATTTCTCAGAATAAGGATTGCTACACACAGTTTTAAAATTAAAAAGTAGCTTTATTATTCAGCTTCCCCCAGAGTGGAGTCCTGTGGGGTATTCTTAATAGGTGGTCATTTGACCTGTCTTTCACTTCTTATGGAGGGAACACACAATAATCTAAGAAATATAGTTCTTGTGTATATAGAGTATGGAGTTCAAATTAAATGAAATATAACTTCACTGTCAGATGAAATCTGTAGTGTTTATTGTAAAGAATTCTGGTTATTACTAGGATGAAACATTGGAAACCATATTTCAGTGTATGAGTACCCAGTAATGAACAGTAGAGAAACATTATTTAGACCAGAGAAAAGAAAAAGGGAGGGAAGTAGATAAAACACCTTTCTTCAAATATATTGAAGGTCTGTCATATGGAAGAGGTAAACTTCTTTTCTTCAGAAAGCAATTTATGGGTTAAAATAACATTCTTTAAAAACAGTTGGAGCTGTTCAACTGTGGAAAGGATTGACTTGTGGTAGAGTAACATGTTCATCACTAGAATATTTAAGGAAAGGTTGGATGACTTGTGATCAGAGAAAACCTGTTACCCCTTTGTTAACTCTCTAGAGTACTACAAACTGTAGCCCCTGGGCCAATTTTTGATTCTATACATAAAATTTTATAGGTACACAGCCACTCTCATTAGTTAGTTGTCTGTAGCTACTTGCATGCTACAATGGCCAAGTTAAGTGCTTGCAACATAGACTACATGGCCTGTAAAGCCTGAAATATTTGCAGTGTATTTCTTACAGAAAATGTTTACCACTCCTGCTCTAGAGATGGGAAAACAATGTTGACCCAGATAGACTTAGAAAGTAAATGGGTCGAGAAGAGCTCCTCCATCCCCAGGATGTCCAAGTGGTTACCAAAATATTCTTCAAAATATTGATGCTGACTTCAGATTTACATTTAGGGTTTTAATCCATCTAGGATTTTTTGTTGTAATGCTCTGAAATTGAGGTTCAACTTTATTTTTTACTGAACGGATAGCCAGTTTTTCTAACACTTACATACATGTAACCATCTTTTTCTTACATTTTGAATTACCATCTTTGTTATGTGTTCCATATATTTACATGCAGTATGTATTTTACATGTACAATTAAAAAGGCAATTTCCCCCTCTGAGTTTTTTAATTATTTTTTTCATATGAACATTAAGATAATTTTATTTATAAAAAATCTGCATAGGGGCCCTGGCCAGGTAGCTCAGTTGGTTAGAGCATTGGCCCTATATGCCAAGGTTGGGGGTTTGATCTCCATTCAGGGCACGTACAAGAAGCAACCAATGAATGCATAAATGAGTAGAACAACAACTCTCTCTTTCTCTCCATCACTCCTTCCCTCTCCCCCTTGTTTTTCCCCCCTCTCCGTCTAAAACCAGTAAATAAAAATTTTTTCAAGACCTGCATAGAGAATTTGATAGGAATATATAGATGTTAATTTTGGAGAAAATACCCATTTTATTAAGTTTTTCCACCCAAGCTTTTTCCAGATCATGTGTTTTATGCCCTTAAATAAGATTTTGTGCTTTTAAACCAGGAGGAAATCCAAAATCTATACTGTAGAGAAGAATCTTAAAACCTTCTGATGTCATGACATCACAAATCAAGTCAGTAGACATATTGGGTAAAATATTTTTGATGTGACAATTTTACTATGAATAATGTGCAAAGGAGTCTCACAAATTGATGGCAAATATAAACAATAAATGTACAAAAATGTGCAACATTCTAGTATGCAAGATAAAGGAAATTTTTACCATTTCAAATTGATTGGGTTGGCAAAAATTAAATAGTATGTTAATGTCTGATGTTTGCAGGGTAAAAGATATGCTCATATATTTCTAGTAGAAATGTGAATTATTTTAACCTTTTTAGAAACTAATATTGAGTTAAGAAAAAATATTTCTGTGCTCTGAGAACCTTTCCCAGCCCTAGCCAGTGTGGCTCAGTTGGTTGGGATGTCATCCCTTAGACCAAAAGGTTGTGGGTTCAATTCACAGGGCACATACTCAGGTTGTGGGTTTGACCCTGGTCATAGTGTGTACAGGAAGGCAACCAGTCAATGTCTGTCTCTTTCTTGCTTGCTTCCCCTCTCTCTGTGTATATATCTCCTCTTTTTTCTCTCTCTAAAAGTAATGAAAAAATATCCTCAGGTGAAGGTTTAAAAAAAAACTTTCTGTAGAAATAAAAGCACTAGTTTATTCACCTTCACCAGAATGCAGACAGCAGTTTTGGGTATGGGAAACAAAGTATATATATGACCAAAAAATTGGTAAATTAATTGAGATACATTCTACAATAAAATAATACGCAAGTAGACTTCCAGTCAAGATGGCAGCATAGACAGACATGGTCCACCTCTTTGCTCAACAACATCAAAATTATGACTAAAATATAGAACTACCATCACTCAGGACCATCAGAAATTGAGTTGAATGGAAATCTGACAACTATGGAGTTAAAGAAACCATGTCTGTCCAGATGGGTAGAGGCACAGACGCAGAATGGGTTGGACCCTCACCCACATGTGGTGGATAAAAATTTGGGAGGGATACTTTGGGAGCAAGGAGTCCTAGCCTCATACCAGATCTGCCAGTGCAGGGTTCCAGTGCCAGGAAGAGAAGTCTCTACAACTTCTGGCTACAAAAGCTAGTGGGTATTTAGTTGGTGGAAGAAACTGCTGGAACCCCAAGGAATTCTTCTGAATTGAACATGGACTTGCCTGCTCAGACTCACTCCCTCTGAGTTCCAGCGCCAGGGTAGCAGCTTGAAAGTCACCAGTGGCATACAGAGGAAAACTGAAGTGTCCAGCATCCAGACAAACGGGCCATTGTCCCTTTTCTAAACTCTGTTCCCAGAGGGTATGGCACCGACAAAGATGGTGCCATATTTGAGACTCCATCAACCTGGATAACACTGTTTGAACTGCCTTGGAGATCCCCAGAGACTCTACCCCACCCAGATTATGGGCCCACCCAACCTGCTTTTGCATATGAATGGATGGTCTGGGCTCAGAGTTCACAACTTCCAAAATCCTCTCAAACAAGCAACAGCTGGACTCTGTGAGCCCCCCAGGCCTGACACTAGCAGAAGCCAGCCTAGATTCAGTTTAGCCTCACCTTGGAATCTCCAAGTCCAGACTAGTAGCAGCCATCTCAGATTGCTTTATAGCTCAGGTAGGGTGGCCCCAAACAGAACACAGGTGGGGGCTACCCATGGACTGCACTGCCCAGGAAAACCCAGGATTTGCACACCCAGTGGACAACTACAGACAATGTCAGAGCATTACCACCCTGCCCTTGCACAGCTGATCTTCCATAGAGGACAGTCCTTGCAGCTGACCAGCCTGGGCAAATCCCTCCCATTGGTCTGCCAACAGCAGCCAAAGCTGAACTACAAGAGGAGACTGTACTCAGTCCACACAAGGGGTGGACCTCGAGTACCCAACTTGGGTGATAGGAGAGGTATTCCACGGGGTCTTTCAGGACACCTACTACATTTGGTCACACCACCAAGACAGGGAGTCAAAGTAGCTCCACCTAATACATAGAAACAAACACATGGAAGCTGTCAAAATGAGGAGACCAAGAAACATGGCCCAAATTAAACATCAAAACTCCAGAAAGAGCTAAGTGATAAATGAAATGGAGCTAAGCAGTCTATCAGAAGCATAGTTCAAAACACTGGTTATAAGGATGCTCAAGGAACTTAGGACCTCAACAACATAAAAAAGGTCCAGTCAGAAATGAAGGATAATCTAGTTGAAGTAAAGAAAAATTTACAGGGAAACAACAGTAGAGTGGATGAAACTGAGAACCAAATCAATGCTTTGGTCCAATCAGAACAACAAGAAGAAAAAAGAATCCAGAAAAATGAGGCTAGTATAAGCAGCCTCTGGGACAACTTCAAGAGGTCCAGCATATGCATCATAGGGGTGCCAGAAGAAGAAAAAGAGAAAGAAGTTGGAAATCTATTTGAAAAAAAATAATGAAAGGAAACTTCCCTAATTTGGTGTAGGAAATAGACATGTAAGTCCAGGGAGTACAGAGTCCCAATTATGATAGATGCAAACAGGCCCACTCCAAGACCCATCATAATTAAAATGCCAAAGGTTAAAGATAAACAGAATATTAAAAGTTCAAGAGAAAAGAAGTTAGTTACCTACAAGGGAGTTCCCATAAGACTGTCAGCTGATTTCTCAAAAGAAGCTTTGTAGGCTAGAAGTGATTGGAAGAAATATTCAAAGTCATTAAAGGCAAGAGTGCTCTATCCTGCAAAGATATCATTTAGACTCAAAGGGCAGATAAAGAGCTTCCTAGACAAGAAGAAACTAAAGGAGTTTGTCATCACCAAACCATTGTATGAAATGTTAAAGGGATTTATTTAAGAAAAAGATTGAAACTGTGAAAACAATAAAATGGCAATAAGTACATATGTATCAACAAATGAATCTAAAAAACAAACTAAGCAGACAAGAAGAACAGAGACAGAATCATGGATACAGAGAGCATTTAGATGTTTGCCAGATGGGTTGGGTATGTGGGAGAATGGGTGAAGAGGTAAGGGGATTAAAAACTATAAATAGGTAGTCACAGAATAGTCATAGGTATATAAACTAGAGGGAATGGAGTAGCCAAAGAACTTACATTCGTGACTCATGGGTGTGAACAATGGTGTATGGATTGCCTGAGGGAGTAGAGGGTGCTGGATGGAGGGGGGTTCAGAGGGGGAAAATCAGGGCAAGTGTAATAGCATAATCAATAAGATAAAATTACAAAAAGAAATAATATGCAAGCGTTTCAAAGGTGGTAACAGTATGTCAGTTAACTTGAAGGGACCTCCACATGTATCCCATGAGTCAGGTAAGATTTAGAGCAGTATGTAACTTGCTCTCAGTTTTATAAAACAAATAATCACCTTTCAGAAGAAAAACTCTTACATATCTATTTATGTATTTGCAGATAATTTTTTTTCGTATAATTAATGGGGAATGAAGTTTAAGGGAGAGGAAGAAAAGGTAAAAGCGAAAGATTTTGTTTAAAAGGTTATATTATAACAGAAATGTCCATAACAGGCAGCATGGTATGATATAGTTGAGTCTTTTATAAAATTGATTGTACATTCTTTTCTGAAAAGAAAAGTCAAATTTCCACATGATACATTTGGCTGTCTTTGTAAGCTTTCCTTGACTTATTCTTTGACCCAGGTTGGTCCAGATGGTCTGATGAAGTTAAATAGCTCTGCCCTTAATAATGAGTTCTTCACTTCAGCAGCGCAAGGCTGGAAGGAAAGACTCTCAGAAGGTAAGTGTTCTACCAACGTCAGCTATCATGTGTATGCACTTGGAGCTACTGTGAGAACATACTGGCACCTCTGCACCTCAGTAGGTATTTAAACAATTTTGGAAGACAAAGGATGGGATGTTTCTGTAGGGTAGAACTAGCCATCTTCTTTGAAATACATTGCTAGCCTTCTTAAAAAGATTTTATTTATTTATTTTTAGAGAGAAGAGAAGGGCAGGAGAAAGAGAGGGAGAGAAACATCAGTGTGTGGTTGCCTCTCATGTGCCTCCCACTGCGAACCCAGCCCACAACCCAGACACATGCCCCTACAGGAAATTGAACCAGCGACCCCCTGGTTTGTAGCCCAGGCTCAATCCACTGAGCCATACCAGCCAGGGCCATTGTTAGACTTTTATCTGGAGCCTGTGTAACCTGCTTTGGCTCTGACAATATGTTTCTTTTAAAGTCAGCTGGCCAACTAAAAAGTACATCTGTTTAGGTCCTATTCCTAAAGATTCTAATTCAGTAATTAATTCTAGGTTAATTCCTGGGAATTAAAATTTTAATAAGCTGCTAAAACTAAAATACAGAATTAGAGTTACTTTTGGTGATATGAATTATGACTTGGTAAGCAGTGAGATAACATCTTTTTTGCTGCACAACCTCAGTAAAAGTAATAAAAGGAATCACTAAGAACTTTTTAAAAAACAGCTTTATTAAGAACTTTACATACTGTAAAGCTCTGACCCACTGAAAGTGTATAGTTTATTGGTGGTCAGAACATTTTAATAAATACAGATTGTGACTGAGGCTTGCTGACTGTAGCCACTGGTTTGCCATTTTTGGATTTGCGGATGTTGTACCAACCTTGCATCCCTGGAATAAATCCCACTTGATTATGGCATAGGATCTTTTTGTGTGTCACTGCGTCCAGTTTCCTAATATTTTGTTGAAGATTTTAGCATCCATGTTCTTCAGGGTTACAGACCTATAATTTTCTTTGTAGTGTCTTTGTCTGGTTTTGGGAATAGGATAATGCTGGACTCGTAAAATGAGTTTGGTGGCTTTCTCTCCTCTTGAACTTTTTGGAATAGTTTGGTGTTAGTTCTTTGAATATTTGATAAAATTGATCTGTGAGGCCATCTGGTTCAGGACTTTTGTTTCTTGGGAGGTTTTTGATTACTGCTTCAGTTTCATTAGTTGTAACCTGTTGATTGAGATTTTCTGATTCTTCCTGATTCATTTTTGGAAGAATGTATGTTTCTAGGAATTTATCCATTTCATACAGATTATCCAATTTGTTGGCATATAGTTGTTTGTAATATTTTCTTACAGTCTTATGTATTTCTTTGGCGTCAAGTGTTACTACTTCTCTTTTTATGATTTTATTTTAGTTTTCTCTTTTTTTCTTGATGAGTGTTTATAATACTTTGTCAATTTATTTAGCTTTTTTCTCTGGAGGCGTCTTCTGTTCTTTGATTCAGAGCATGTTTCTTTTTCTCCCCATTTTGGTTGCCTCTTTGTGTTTTTTTCTATGTATAAGGTAAATCTACTATGACTCCAGTCTTGGTAGGGTAGCCGTATGTAAGAGGTGTCCTATGGGACCCAGTGGTGCAGTGTCCTTGATCACCTGGGCTGGGTCCTCCAGGAATGTCCCTTTTGTGCATTATGCGGGCCTTCTCATTGTGGGTGAGTCTTGATTACTATTGGTCCATTTGACTCTCAAGCTAGGCTGGCTGACTGAGGATCAACCTTGACCAGAGCCATGAGCTGCTATGAAGGTGCTGTCCACGTGAGTGAAATTCACTTCAGCAGGAGGTGCCTGCTTAGATCTCCCTTTGTGTATGCTGCTAGGGAAACTAATTGGATCCTGCTACGATGTTGTCTGAAGCTGGCCACTGGGTGGGTGTATTGGTTGTAGGGCCTCTTGGGAGAGACTCTACTGTTGCCCAATGTCAGATGTTGCCTGTAACTGGCCCTGGGCAACGTGTCTTGAGTTACAAAGTGACCCACACTTTATTGCTGCATCTGCTGGGCCTGGGTGAGCACAAGAAGGGCCAGGCTGTGCACCAAGGCTGGCTTTTACTAGCACTGGTCTCCGGGGCAGGTCAGCAAAGGTCTTGAGGTACTCTGAGATCTGCCTCTCCCTGCCTCCATCTCCTAGCTGCCTGTTAAGCTCAGTCACTGACAGAGTCTCTGGTGGTCCTTGAGTTGCATGAGGTAGGTTCTCAGTGAATTACAAGGTAGGGGTGAGTCATGTTCACCAGGGTATACCAAGTCTCTCTGACACCTGCTGGGTGCGCATACCATTTGTAGTGTGGGGCAGTGTGTCAGGGTGTCGTCAGGGCAAGGCCAACAGAGTTTATCAGGCCCAAACAGTCCAAGATTTGGCTGCGTGGAATGTTGAGGGCTCTGTACCCATTGGGCATGTGAGGGGAAAATAGCCCCTGTCCTAGACCATACAGATCAGTCTGTCCGAGATTCTTCTGGGAGGCTGAACTCAGCAGGGGGGTGGCCAGGAGTCAGGAGGGTGAGGCCAGTGGATCTCTTGTGAGAGGGAGGTGCTGGTCAGGATGGGGGAAGGTCGGCGGGGGGGCGGGCCTCTACTTTAGAGACACACAGCTCTTCCAGATTCTGCTCAGACCTCGGCAAGTTGGATCCACCGTGGGGAGGTAGGGGCTAGTGGATCTCCTGTGAGGGGGAAGCGCCAGTCGGGTTCATGGGAAAGTGGGGGAATGACCCCCACCCGAAAGCCACACAGGTCATTCACTGACACCTGCTGATTCTGCTCAGACTTCTGTACCCTGGACTAGGCAGATTCCTCTCAGGGTGTGAGCTCTGCAGGGTGGGGCTGTGGTGCCCCCCCCAGGCCAATGCCATATGGAGGGGACTGCTCTAACCAAGAAAACTGGTGTCTGCAGTGTGGGGTAATGACTCAGCACAGGGATCATGGCCACTGTCCCTTCAGTTCTCCCTAGAACCACAAACCCCAGTCTCTCTTCGTGCGACTCTAGTCCTTTCTACCCTCTCTCTGTCTGCCAGGATTCCAGGATGATGGCTGCAAATGAGATTTTTGTGTGTTGGCCCTTTTAGCAGACTCATCTCTCCCTGTGGACAGAGGGAGAATGCCCGCTGATTTTCACAGCCAGATGTTATGTGGGTGCCTCCTCCTGGCTCTAGTTCTCTGGGTTGGGGACCCTGGCTTGGGGTTGAGACCCCACTCTTCACAGGGGGAACCTTTGCAGGTGAGGTAGCCCTCCAGAAATTAAGCTGCCTCCCATGGGAGGGGAGCCAGCTCATTTTGCAACTCTGTTCTTCCTACCAGTCTTGATGTGGCCTCTTCTGTAAATCCTTGGTTATAAGACTTCTCTTCAGCTAGTCCTCAGTTGGTTATGCAGGTTGATTGCTCTGTATTTTAGTTGTAATCCCAGTTTGGTCCTGGGAGGGGGTGAGTGAATGTACCTTCCACCTACTCCACTGCCATCTTTGGATTTCATGCCTTTGGTTGTTGGGGTTTTTTTTGTTTTGTTTTGTTTTTTTTTTCCAGTTCCCCCAAGTGATTGTAATATGCAGTCATTATTAAAACCACTAGCTGTGTTAAAGGAAGTGTGGAAAGCTTTAGAAGAAATATATGTATTAAGGAGTGCATTAGGAATGCTATTCATACTTTTTGTCAGATACATTGACAATTAAGAGTTAATTGACCAGCTAATTAATTAATAGCTATATTGTTCCCTGAAATTGTTGACTTTTCCCTTAATCTTTTTCTTTTTAGAACCACTTCTGTGTAGAAGGGATCCTTTGTTGATTACCTTGGTTCTTTCTCTTTCTTAAAGATTTCCATGAGCAGAGACCCTTTTTTCCTGAAAGAATTGAAATCACCATAGCACTTTAAAACATACTCATTACCTGTGCCTTTCTTGAAGAATAATTTGATAAAGGATCTATGACTTCCAAACCCCCATTTTTTAAAGTAGGTATTATTAACAATACCTTGATTATTATCAGTGTTGTCTTTGTTTCATATGAGCAGTCACTGCTATACCTATAGTCAAGTGATAATATTTTTTGAGCAGCAAAACTGAAAACTGTATACATCTGAACAGAGTTCAATACATTAAATACTTTTATTCCCCTTTCTATTATTGTGCACAGACTCAGCAAAAGACCACAAGTTCTGGGTTGGATTCTGACAACCAGATTCCTCTTTTCCTCTTCATATGCTCAGGACTGTGATTTCCACAGTTTCTTAAAACTTTTCCTTTCCCTCTTCTTACTCCCAGGAAGTTTTAAACTTCAAGTCTGCCATTTTCACCTCTTATTTCCCAATGTTCTGGGTATTAGAGTGTAATGGGAACAGCCTTTTTGAGCCACGCTATGAAAATGGTCTACCAAGCACATTGACTGTTTTCTGCTGGTGGACTGGAAGGATTGATGTGGTTGGTAGTGTATGCAAATAAATGGCATATTCAGCTGGGTCTTTGGCACATTGCCTACCTCGTTGCTAGGGCATCAGACTGGTACAATTAGAAAACTAACAACTCCAAAATAACTTTCTGCCTTTTTGCTGGAATCTTAATACTTTTACTCAGGGCCACAACTGTTCATTATACAGTTAGAGATGAAAGGCCTAAAGTACAAGTTCCTTTGGAGAAACAGAATTTTAAAACAATGAAATGCCCAGTGGCATTATTTACTGAAAGCTCATGAGTATTTTTCCAGTGGAAAGCAATTAGAAATTCACAGTTAATGATAAATCTGTAGGGACTATGATATTTAGAGCAGGAGGGAGGGAGGTACTACAAGGAAAGCCCAGGAAAGAGACCCAGTTGACCTGAGCCACACACCAAAAACTACGTGGGGCGGGCAAGTGGTTTTTCTTTCACCTGTTGGCATTTAGGTACTCCTTACAGTGGGGCATTGGGCACATTTATATTGCTTTCACAGGATGGTGATCAGCCTCCTTTATGAGTCTTTCATGATTTATAAAGAGTTAAAAGTTTCAGTGTGTTTCTATTAACTGTGTATTTTTCTTTTTGGTACATTATAGGTGAGTTTACACCTGAGATGCAGGTGAGAATTCGACAAGAGATTGAGAAGGAGAAAAAAGTAGAGCCATGGAAAGAACAATTCTTTGAAAGCTACTATGGTCAGAGGTAATATCAAGATAGATTCTGTTAATTCCTCTATGTCATGTGGTACTTTATCTTACTACCTTTCCAGAATATCTAGTCCTCAATTTCCCTCTATTTTTTTCACCACTTCTTTTTTACCAAAATGTTTTCTCTATGAATCTCAAGTGCACAAAGTTGGATTACTCATAATCTCTAGCTCTTAAAACATTACCATTGGATTTTAATTATCTTGAATTGGAGTCTCTTTCTTTGAATCAATTGGCTTTTCTTCCAGTAGCTTTGTAAAATATAAGACTACCGAAGTTCTGTGTATTTCTTATGGTAGCTAATTTTAATCCCACAGTGTAGTAACATCTAGATCACTAAGGAATCCTAGGAATCCTGTACTAAGGACTGTTATATCCAATTTTAATTAAACAGCCTCTCCTCTTTAAAAGGCACCCCTGGAGATATACGAGGTCTGTCCAGAAGGTATCCAGCCATGTAATATGAAAAATAGAGACATTTATTGAAGAAGATACAAGATAGAAGAAACATTGCACATAGGACAATGACGCCTCAGTCCCCTTCAATATAGGGACCTTGGGACCTCACACTGTTCTCCCAATCACCATCAGCTGCCCCGTCGTATTTTCCTGATATCTCATCGACGGTCTGAAATCTCTTCCCTTTCAAAGGTGATTTTAGTTGTGGGAAAAGCCAGGAGTTGCAGGGCATCAAATCTGGGCTGTAGGGGGGCTGAGTCACCTGGGTGATTTGATGTTTTGCCCAAAAACTCTGCATGAGACATGATGCATGAGTAGGCACGTTGTCATGATGAAGCTTCCAATCACCAGTTGCCCATAGCTGCAGTTTTTGAAAATCCCAATAATTTCTAGCCGGAGGAATGTTCAGGCTTAACGCAAAATTTGATGCAGATTCGTTGCTCTACTTGATCAGTCATTTTGAATGTGATGGCCACACAGCACACATGCTCACACAATGATGGTTTGCCACCTCCACTGGCTAGTACAGTGAAATCATTGTTCACATGCGCGCATTCTGGTCCATTCTCCTTGGCTAACAGGTTACATCAATGTTGCGCAAACCGTTCTTACATTAACAATGGCTAGACTTTTTCTGGACAGACCTGGTATATTTGAAACAAGATATAAATCCTGTTCTAAGGGGCTATGGTCCAAATCAGTATTTTTCTAATAAAAAATCCAAATGAAGTCTTAATAGGAGACATTGAAATAGATGACAGTGGAACCCAGAGTCTAACTTGTCAGTCTCCTTTCATTCCTCTGCATGCCTAATGGCTGCCCTTCAGGGAGACTCCATGACCACTGCTTGAACTGTGGGCTCTCTTCCTTATCTTCAAATAGTGTTCATTGACCCCTTCATGGCCCTTTAGGAAACTATTCCTATTCAGGTTAACCTTCTCATATACTGATTTTTTGATGTTCTTTGTGTGAGCTGAGTTCTTACATAGAAATGATGGTATGTGTACATTCAGATCATTATTATCCATATCAGGTATTCAATAAATACTGTTCATTTTTTCACATTAGGTAGGTAGAGCATTACAGTAGTTGTTGTATCCTTCTGTTTTCAGCTCTTACTTTTTTTCAGTTCATAGAAGGAATTTTTAAAATTAAATTATTGTTTTAGAGAGGGGGGAAGAGAGGGAGAAAGAGATGGAGAGAAAAATCAGTGCGTAAGAGAAATGTCTATTGGTTGCCTCTTGCATGTGGCCCAACTGGGTACCTGGCATGTGCCCTGACTGGGAATTGAACCAGCAACCTTTGGCTTTGCCAGATGACATCTAACCCACTGAGCAATGCCAGTCAGGGCTGAAAGGAATGTTTTTGATATCTGTTCAGTTTTGTCCTTGTGTATTCTGTCTCAGAGGTGCAGGACTGATTTTTTGAAGCCACCAAAGAGGCCTCCCTTGTTTTTGACATTTAAACAGTATTCTAGAATGCATAAACCAGAAACCGAACCCATAGGCTGGGAATGAAACCCAGTTCTCCCAAATGAGAGGCAAGAATTCTACCACTGAACCACCAGTGCTTCCTATTAAACAGTATTCTAAAACATTAGGAGGAGTCTCTAGTGTGATGGCTGCAGAGTGGCCTAGCTCTTAGGCCACACTATGGAAGTCCCAGCTGGTCTTCACTCCCAGGATAGCTCAGGCACTGGATCTCACAATTATAGGGCTACACCAAGAGAAACTTAAGTAGACTTTCCAAAACTCAGAATTAAAATTCTCAACCTCTGGAGAACATTGACAGCCAACTTCCTTACTATCCTTCCAGGGTCTCTTAGGTTTTTTTGAGCTAGTCTTTCTACAGGTACTGCAGAGCAGAGCTAATCACAGTCCAAACCCACAATATCAGGGTGTGTGGGTCTTGGCCTTCTTTCACTTCCCTTGTGGGTAGTCTGTGATGCATGTCTCTAGATGTTGTGGCCTCTTTATAACAGGAAGTAATGATAATAATTAACATTACTGAACTTTTATTATGGGTGAGGTACTGTTGTAAATACTTCACATACATTAACTTAGTTAGTTATAGCAACACTATGAAATGATTAACCTCAGTGCACAATTGAGGAAACTGAGGCACAGAAGGCTAGTCATTTACTTTAATATCATATGGATAGTCAGTATCAGAGCCATGATTTGAATCCAGGCACTCTGGCTCCAGAACCTTCACTAAAAGTAATAATGAAGATACGATATGAAGAAAACCTACTATGTGTCAGGTTCTTCTATGCATTGCCATATACCATTATTTCATAATGCTTTCAGTAACCTGGGCCATGTCTCAAATAGGATCTTTCTTTCACCTTTTAGTTCTGGCCTGAGCCTTGAGGATTCAAAGAAATTGACAGCTTCACCCAGCGATCCCAAAGTTAAGAAAATCCCTGCTGAGCAACCAAAATCCTTACTTCCGTCAGAGGCCTCTCCTGTCGGTGTAGTCTCCGTAATTCCTCAGGTAGAGCCTAAAGAAGAAGTAGTGCATATGCCATCACCCGTCCGAAAAGAAGCACACGAAAGCCAAGATAAGGTACAGCCAAACTCTAAATCTACGGAGCCCCTACTTTCCTCTACTAGGGATACACATGAGCTTTGTGGCATTCTTCCCATCAAGTGTCCAAAGGATGAAGATGTCTTGGAACAGAAGCCAGTTGCCTCTGTTGAACAGGAATCCGAGAAAGAGAATCATCTCACTACAGCTTCTAATTATAATAAAAATGAAAGCCAGGAAGCTTTGGTTAAGTCTCCAAGCAAGCCCAAGAGTCCTGGAGTGGAGAAATCAATAATGAAGCCCATAATAGAAGCAAGTGCACAGGAGACCACTGTGAAAGAGCCTTCATCCACTCGGGTTGATCACAGCCCAGAAAGCCTCAAGAGGAAATCTCTAACCCAAGAAGAGGCCCCTGTGAGCTGGGAGAAAAGGCCGCGTGTCACTGAAAATCGCCAGCACCAGCAGCCATTTCAAGTCTCTCCACAGCCCTTTCTCAGCAGAGGGGACCGGCTCCAAGTGCGGAAAGTACCACCTCTCAAGGTAAGAGAATGGGAAGCACTCAGAGAGGTGGCCTGAACACTAAGTTCTTGGTCATACCTTCCAAATTTCAAGTAATTTGTAGTATTTCTTAATGCAGATGCAGTTGTGTATATTTGATACACATGTAACTGTGGTCTTATATGAATAAAATTGTTAATAAACAGCCATGTAGAGCTTCATCCCAACAGATTTTTGTTGGTGTTTGAAGAAGTAAGGTACCTGGATATGATCTAAACCACCTCCACCCGCCCCCTGCTGGCTACTCTTGTTTCTTAGGACAGTTATGGAAATTATTGTGTCTTGTGGCAAAATAAGAAGTATGATGATACATATAAGGCCATTGGTGTGATGAAGAGATCATATATTTGTACCAAGAGCCATGATATTTCAGTGTGCCTTGGCCTTTTTCTTACTGCCATGACTGACTGAACGTTGTGTGGGTCTCGAGCTACCTTTAGCTCTGTCCTTCTAAAGGAAATGTGAGTGGTTTCCATGACTCACTGCTGGTTATTTGAAGGACATTGGTGAGATGAAATAGTCTTGCTAAGCTCTGCTACTTAGGATATGTCAGTAATTTCTATTTTAACCTTGTATTGCTATTTGTCAAATCTTTCAAATTCCTATAGCAGTGTCTCTACCTCAGCATGCAAAGACTGCATCTAATCAATCGGTAGTGTACCTTTGAAAACCCAGACACTTTTACTTTTGATCTAAAGGTTTATTAATACTTGGGTTTGTGCCTAGGATCAATTTGCAGTCCTTTCATTCATTTAATTACTAATTTATTGATACTTTTTATGAATAGTATTTATTAATACCATTGTGTCTATGATGAGCCCAGACACTGGGTATTCATTCACATTAGGATATAAGTAGGAAAATGAGCCATATGGAAAAACTCCCCCTCCCTCCTTGTCAAATTTAACTCAGGTGAATCAAAACAAAGTTAGTTCTATCAGGAAATACCCTTTGGAAACATTTAGTTATTAGTACTTGACCCATTTTTTTTTTTTGCACAGTGTTACTCCTATTTCTCATTTTGCTTCTTATTAATAGTATGATGTTCTTTACAACTTTTTATTTTTAAGATTTATAGTTTCAGTACTTAGGAATTTCTCCTTATTTATTGATAATTTTCTTCCATGAATATACTGTCATGATTTGTCAGATATTCTGATTTATATGATAATTATTTTTACTTGCCTTACAAAAATACTAGGAACCTTTATTTAATAATTGTCGATCAGAACTAATCTCCAGGCCTGAGAAATGAGTTATACTTTAGGTTTTCACTGGATATAAATGACACTTGGTAAGATCTATCATTTTTATTTCCTCACCTGTAAAGAGCCTGATTTACATGATAGTCTGCTAATCCAAAGAGCCTCAATGCTGAAAACTTAAGCCCACTGTGACCATGTTAGCGCTATTTAGGTTTTTTCCTTTTACTTCTCCCTCCTCATAACCCCCAAAAGACTTTCTATCAGAAGTTGCTTTTGTAAGTATAATTTTACCTTCAATTCTGTTTCAAATCTTGCTTTCTGAGACAAAGCTTAAATCAATTTATAATGAAATGATACCTTTTTAAACAAAATTTAAGTAGAAAAACAAAATTTGAATTTTATTACAAATGTTATACATGTATATATGTGCTTTATGTATATTATACATGAGTATAATATAATATATGTGTGTATATAAAGGGAAGGGAAATTCCAGCACATACTTAATTTTTCCATTCAGTGTACATTTCAAAAGAAAAAAAATCTTAATTCCTTCTCTCTATCAGGGTTAGGGCTTCTCAGTAAAATTACTATTAGTGCCTAGACAACTTTGAGTGGTTTGGTACTTAGAAAGTGTAAGATCTCATTTATTCCACATAAACAGGTAATAGGGCTCTTTACATAAATAATTGAAAATTGTTTTAATAAGTATTAAAACTTTTCATTTTAACCACTTTAATGATTATTATATTTATTCAGCATGTTATTAATGATTTTCAGTAATTACGTTAGATACCATTTATTGTGTTGGGTAAGTTGTTACTATCAAGATTATTTTGATGCAAGGTTGTTTGTCCCTGTGTACAATTCCCTGAAATAGCTGTGCTTTTACTTTTTTGTATTTAATTTTTAGTTTCATCTATATTTTTTACTGAATTGTGGTCCTGTGTAGATGATATTGCCAGGGGATGACAGTTACTACTTTCTTACTATGAGCAGCTTCTGAAGTACTGTGGCCAATTAGATGTAGAATAGATTCTGCTTCAAGAGAGATTAGGTATATCTCATGAATCCAAATTTATGGACTTGGTGATAAATTTTACAGAATCCCACAGCTTTTAATGTCTGAATGACAGAGAATCAGTTTTTTAGGACGGCTAACCTTTTGAGAAATGGGTACTGCAAATAATGAACAATCTTTATTGACTTTATTATTCTTAATTTTAAGGAGTTCCAGAAATATGACATTCATATTCTTGCAGCCTAGTGACTTAATTTTTCTTCTTTTAAGTTAAATGCCATAGAACATCTGTAACAGTTATTTGCTCCTTTAAACTCTTGATGCACTCTAATTAACTCCAGTATCTCTTAAAGTATTGTTCAAACAGGAGCAGATTCCTTTCAGATGCAGTATTTTTTTTTTTTTAAGATTTTATTTATTTTTAGAGAGGGGGGAAGGGGAGAGGGAGAAAGAGAGGAAATATCAATGTGTGGTTGGTTGCCTCTCAATGGCCCCCTACTGGGGACCTGGCCTGCAAACCAGGCATGTGCCCTAACTGGGAATCAAACCAGTTACCCTTTAGTTCACAGGACAGCACTCAATCTCTACTGAGCCACACCAGTCAGGGCTATATGTCTTAATTTTTAATTAGTTTATTGGTATGATGATTCTATTTAAATTGTAAGGTGTGTGATTTGGTTTTTAAGATGTATTTTCTTTTTTATTTTTTTAATTAAAAAATGTTCAATTATAGCTTATATTCACTATTATTTTATATTAGTTTCATATGTACAGCATGGTGGTTAGATAATCTTCTACTTTACAAAGTATTCTACCTGACATTTCCATTATCCAACTGGCACCATACATGGTTATTACCATATTATTGACTTTATTTCCTATGCTGTATGTTATATATACCACAACTGTTTTGTAACTGCCAACCTGTACTTATCAATCCCTTTACCTTTTTCATGCAGTCTCCCACCTCTTCCCAGATATGGTATTTTATGATAGCAGTATTGGTGGCTTTAAACCTGATGATTCATCAGAACCTCACAGGATGCTTTTTAGAAAAGCATTGCCCCCCTAGGGGTTCTAATTTACAAATTTTGAGATAGGACTCAGAGCATATGTATTTTTCAAAAGCTCCACAGGTTAAGTAAGTTTGATGCCAGCCAGGGATGAGAATGACTGGTAAATACTATATACATTACATATGCACTCCCACTTGGGGACAGGCAGAAGGGGCATACATAGATTTTCCCCTATGACCTTGATAATAAAGTCTAGAAGTAGTAAAAGACAGTTGTATTTTATACTACTACTTTCTTTCTCTTTCTTCCTCCACATGCTCATTTGAAAATGCAGATGCCATAGAAAGGTTTATATCTTAAATGATAAGCAGTTGTGAGTAGTTGTGACATTAAGAGAGAGTTGAGAAGAAGTATGGGGATTTGAGGTGGTGGGAATGGGTGTTGAGGGAGAGAAGACTCTTCGGTATCAGAAGAGGAGGTGGAAGGAACCTAAAAAAAATTGTGTTGCCATCTGCATGATTTGGTCTCTTAGCAGAGACCTGCCATCTTCATCCCAGGTGTTGTAGTGTTCATCTTACTCTAAAAATGTAAGTGTTAATGAAGTTTTGCTATTCTTTTAAATGAAAACTAAGCCGTGTTGGTTTTCCCCCTACTTCTTTCAGATCCCGGTCTCCAGAATCTCCCCCATGCTGTTTCCTACATCGCAGGTCTCTCCCAGGGCTCGTTTTCCAGTCTCCATCACTAGTCCTAACAGAACAGGAGCCAGAACTCTTGCAGACATCAAAGCAAAAGCCCAGCTGGTCAAAGCACAGAGGGCAGCAGCTGCTGCTGCAGCCGCAGCTGCTGCAGCCGCCTCAGTTGGAGGGACCATTCCAGGACCTGGCCCAGGGGGTGGACAAGGTCCAGGAGAGAGTGGTGAAAGGAAAACTGCTAGAGGAGGGAGTCCAGACTCAGACAGAGTCAGAGAAACTGGAAAGGGTCCCACACTGGAACTGGCAGGAACTGGAAGCAGGGGAGGTACGAGAGAGCTTTTACCCTGTGGTTCAGAGACTCAGCCCCAATCTGAGACCAAGATCCCAGGCCAGGCACAGCCTCATAGTGTCTCTGGAGCACAACTACAGCAAACCCCCTCAGTGCCTCCAACATCTGCCATCATTGGAGCATGCACAAGTATCCCATCACCAGCTCACACTAATGCACCCCCACCAGCTTTAGGGAAATTGAATAATGAGAAACTGAATGCCATCAGGGCAGCATCCACAGCAGCCTCTCTTAGCCACCTCCAAGGGCCCAGTCATTGCAGGCAGGAGAAAGTACCTTCTACTCCAACAGGTCCTGCTCTAATCTCAGGTGCCTCGCCTGTTCATTTTGCAGCTGATGGCACAGTTGAGCCCAAAGCAGGTTCTAGTAAGAACACACCAAACTCTTCAGCCTCAGCAGAGACAGCTGCCAGGGCTTCAGTGGATATGACTTCCTCCCCTTTAACATCTTTATTAATAGCAGCCACTTTAGAAAAACTTTCTATACCCCAGGTCAGTGTAACTGTAGCACCTACTGGGTCAGTTCCATCCTCGAGCACTTTGCCAGCAGCATCTAGCCTTAAAACTCCAGGAACTTCTTCAAATATGAACGGACCCATTTCACGGCCAAGCTCCAGTATCCCTGCTAACAATCCATTGGTCACTCAGCTGCTCCAGGGCAAGGATGTTCCCATGGAGCAAATTCTGCCTAAACCGCTCACCAAAGTTGAAATGAAAACTGTTCCACTGACTGTAAAAGAGGATATAGGGATAGGAGCACCCACAGGCACCAACACCATACCAGAAAACAGCCCCAGAGAGGAAGTTCATGAGAGGCCTTCTCATCCAGCTCTACAGCAACTGGGTAAAACCTTACAAAATAAGCATCTCTCCCAGCTTCCCAGACCCCTTCAGCTCTTTTCAGGGAAGGATCTAAGAGACTCAAGCATTGATGCAAACCAAGAAGGACTCAGTAAAGCAACCCAAGATCAGATCCTTCAGACTCTTATCCAAAGTGTTCATATTCAGAGACAGAATGTTCTCTCATTTGTGCAGCCCTCCCAGTTCAACTTAACTCACTCAGGTTTCCCGTTAGAAGACATCTCCACAAGCCAGCGGTTCATGCTGGGTTTTGCTGGCAGAAGGACTTTGAAGCCTGCAATGGCAGGTCACTACTTACTTAACATTTCCACTTATGGCCGGGGCTCAGAGAGCTTTAGGAGGACCCATTCTGTAAACCCTGAAGACCGTTTTTGTTTAAGTAGCCCCACTGAGGCCTTGAAAATGGGATATCCAGACTGTAAAAATGCAACAGGAGATAGTAGCAGTGGCAGAGAAGATACTGATGAGGAAAGTACTGATGATGAGCAAGAATCTGTCATGGTGAAGAAGGAGGACCCGGCTTCCCAGAGTTCTGGCAAGTGTGAAGCAAGTTCAGGCCCCCCCGGTCGAGAAGCCCTGCCCACTGATTGTTTAGCTAAAAATAATGCGAAGGCAGAGACACTAGTGCATGAGCAAACCACTGTAGGCAAGGAGAATTATTTGTTCACTGGAGGCCAAACATTCGATGAAAAGACCCTCGCCAGAGATTTTATTCAAGCAGCGCAGAAGAAAATGGCTCATGCAGTGAGAGGTAAGACAATGCATAGCAGCCCTGAGCTTTTCAGTTCCACTGCTTTTCCTCCACCTGCAAACAGCCCCACCCATCAGCCTCTCCTTCTTCCACCACTGCAAACCCAAAAGCTGTATGGGAGCCCTACACAGATTGGGCCAAGCTACAGAGGCATGATCAATGTCTCCACCTCATCTGACATGGACCATAACTCTGCTGTACCGGGAATGCCTGACTGTACCCAGGTATCTAGCAACGTAAGTGATGTCATGTCCTTTTCCGTAACTGTCACTACCATCCCTGCTAGCCAAGCTATGAATCCTAGCAGCCATGGCCAGACCATTCCTGTTCAGGCATTTCCTGAAGAGAATAGCATAGAGGACACACCTTCAAAATGTTACTGCCGATTGAAAGCCATGATCATGTGCAAGGGGTGTGGAGCTTTCTGCCATGATGATTGTATTGGCCCTTCTAAACTGTGTGTCTCCTGCCTTGTTGTTCGATAAAGAGACTAGAAAGAGAACACGCTGTGAAGAAGGCAGGAAGGGAAGAGTTGACAAGGTGTGTTTTTTGTGTCCTTTTGGAATCACAGAAATAAGTGGATTTCAGTTGTCAAAAGACAAATGTTACTTAATCAGGAATACAGAGTGCAGATCTTACATTTTAGAGGAAGAGCACCTTGTATAGTAAGTCGAAGTCAAGCAAGACTTTGTGTAATTGTGACAAGTTTGCACTTACAAAATCATGTACATAAGTCACATTTTGTTTTAACATTTTTTCCCAAGTGTTTAGGTAATAATGTATTACTTTGAATTCAAATTTATGTTCTACTTCATGTGACTCAGAAAAGTTTAATGCCATGCATGGTGGAGGGAAGCTTGTCTCCCATCTGTACTTTCCTAAGAGGCTAGGAAGAGGAAGAAATGAACAAATGGTCTGGAGAAATCACCACTCATGCTGACTATGTCTGCCTGTAGGCTTTACATGGATTATTCAGCCTTTGCAAAATATGGATTCAGGGTTTGCTCAGTCACTTTACCTTAGATGCAACGTTCTCAAGTTCAAGTTTTTGATAAGGTATTAATTTCACAGCTAGTACTTCAGGCTCTGAAAGGCTCTGCCTTGGTTCTTGGCTTCCATAATCCAGTGCTGTTGCCAAGCACGCGCATGCCATTTGTGTGTCTCTGCTGTTCCTAATCCCACTACCCTGCCCTGAGATAGTGAATGTGGTCCATGAAGGGGATGCCTCTCTGGCCCCTCGTGTTACCATAGCCTGGGCAGGGCAACAGTTCCAGCAGTAATGTCCAAATTAGTCATGGGAGCTTACAAGCAGGTTTGAAATACTAGTATAAAATGAACAGGAAAGTGTTAGCAATAGGGTGATTTGAACTATGTGTTTTGTTGGGCCAGTGGAGTAAAGGTGCAGAAACCGAACATACAGAACTTTGGAAAAGGATTTTAACATTAGAAATAAGGTAGTCTCTTTTCTCTAAACCCGTTACCTAATGTTCTGTGGTCAGCTGTTGCTGTGGGTGGAAAAGCTCATTAATGCCACATTTGCCCATCCTGTTAAACCTGTTTTGACCTCCCACACATCTGAGGAGTATGGAGTAATCTTACGTTACTTTTAAGACATATATGCATAGACACACAGTAAAAGTCAGACTCCTTTCCTGTTTTAGAAATACATCCCCTGTTTGGGATTATTGCTGTCTATGCACTAGAAATTTCTAACGTAAAGGGGCTTCAGTGAATGGCTAAGGGAACATCTAGAAAGGAGAAAATTATCTCCAAAGCTTTGTTGTTTGTTCTTGTTTATTTTCTTTTTCCTTTTTTGTTGTGGTTTTAAGCCTGTATTTAGTGACTAAAGAATTTTTGAGTACATATGATTAAAGAACATTAAAATAAGTCTACAGTTTACCAGAACTTGCTATTATTAAACAATCGGGTATTGTCAGTGTGCATCATTCTGCATATTGATTTCAAGTGTGTAAAGTAAAAATTCTACTGTAACCTAGTACAGTCATAATTGTACTTAATATTCAGGATGTGATATTTACAACATTCAGAATAGTGTAAATTTTTTAAGTAAGCCACATTCCAGGTCAGGAGAAAGTAGACAGTAATCATCTTTGCTCTGCCCTCTCCTCCCCTCCTTCCTTGTTACACACTCTTTCAGTACTTTCAAACTCCATAAGAAACTCATTACTTCAAAATTTTTCTTTTTTCTTTTTTTGGTGGCCCAAAGCAAATAGAGGATTAATAGCTCTGTTCTTGTTTCAGCCAAGACAATATGGTGTTCTTATAAGTCCTCTTTTTCTTCCAGCACACACACATAGCTAAGAGAAACGAAAGCGGCAAGGATCCAGGGATAAAGTTTTTCTCCTTAACCAGGTTCCTCCTCAGCCAGGAATCAGTAAGAAATCGAAACCATGGTTCTGGTTTCCAAACTTTCAGTGCCCTGGGTAATTGAGGGGAGAGGTGCTAATTAAAACTTCCCATGCCCAGCTTCTGCACTCCCCACTTCAGTGGCAGGATTTAGGGCTGGTCTGCGTGCTGGAAGTTGTAGTTGTTGAGGGTTTTAGAACTGACCACATGCTGAACAGTTACAATTTCGATTGATTAAAGTGGCTTTTCTTCTTTGCATCTTTCCTGAATCTGAGGATGGATAGACTACACAGGAAAGGAGGAAAGGCATCAGGGATTTTCAAGTCCATTTAGAGAGCAAACCATATTGTGCCTGTTCATCTTGACCCAGGCTCTTGCAGATGGTCATAAGAGTTACTGCTCACTAGATTTTCTTCAAAAGTAATATAATGCCCAGCTAATAAAATAACTTGCATTTATGAATGCCCCTAAAATTGTCAGCTAGGTACACTGCCTCATTATTGACCAAATGAGAGAACAGTTAGGTTCTCTTGGGTTGGTGATAAATTGAATGCAGTCCATTTATCAATTTGTTTCACAACAGTGGTTTCAAGTGGAAAGCCATGAGCTGAGCAGGAAGAAAAAGTTACAAACTGACTCTTGAAAATAAGGCAGAAGGAACAAGAAAAGTATGGTACTCTGGTACCATTAAAGCAGTTTTTATCTTAGATTTTCAGAATTACTTTACCATTCAATTCAACCTAGTAAGTGCTGAGCTTATTTTTGTGGTACTAAATTGGCACTGTTTCTGGTCACTAGTCAGTCGGGTGTTGTGCCTGATGCTTCTGCCTCCGGGGTGTGCTTCAGTGCTTCCCCCGCAGGCTGCCTTGGGAGGCAGCATTAACAGGTGCATCGTCTCAGTCTCGCTTCTGACTGTTGTCAGTTGTGTAGTAGAGAAGGCTCCCTTAATCGTAAATCTCAAAGAATTTTGACCAACATTCTCTCTCCATCCAATTAAATACAAAATAAAGCCAAATAACCTGGAGTTGTTTGCTCTGCTTTTATTCCTTAACTCTTGTGCTCAAAATACTGAAGCTCCCTGTGGTATCCCATGTAACATTTTACACAATAAGGCCTGACTAATGGGTACTTTTTCTTGGTGTAGGGGAGGCATACTTTTATGGGCACACAGATGTAGTCATTCAGGAAATTATCTCAGATTTAAATAAATAGCCAAAGGAAGACCTCATTGCCTTCCAGGTGAAGGTATAAATTCATACATGTTAATGACCTGACAGTCATCATCGTAATTGCTTATTATTGCCATTTTCTGCCTTAGAGTCCTTTGAAAAACTTATGGGTGAAATGATTTGTTGTAATGAGGGGGTCTTTGGTCATTACACTGCTATTTATTTCTAGAACTCACTGTCAGTGAGCAGTGCCAGGGTTGTCTTACTCTCTCATCTAGGAGTTTGACTTCACGACAAGAAGGGAAAAGTCTCCCCGTTGCGTTACAACAGTGTGCTAAGTACAAAACTTGGCCAAGGGTAGTTTTCAGCTCCATTTATAGAATAGTCCAAAGAGACTGAGAAACATGATGATAGGCAGGGACCTTTCCTACCATGTTTCAATACCTACATACCTGTTGAAAGAAAACAATAGGTAAAACATTTCCTAAAGTTGAAGAGCTTCATAGATTCTTGGTTACTTTATTTTTTATTAATGCTTTACATTTGATACAACTATTAAAGATCAATTTTAAAAATAGCTTTCCAGTAATATATTTTAAGTAATATATATTTTAATATCTATGTAAAAAGTGACAGTGAAAAACTTTGAATTTCTCATGTATGGTCTGTTTAATGTAGGACCTCACTGTTAAGGCACAAATGATTTCAGAGGAAGTTACTCTAAAGATACTCAGATTTTTTTCGAAAAATGCAATAAGGGGGATAGTTTGGGAGTTTATTTTTATTTTAAAGGAAAATTGACTTATTTACCACAAGCTATTTTTTCCCCTTCTGGCTGTCAGGTTTGTACAGACTGGTTTGGTAAATGCTAAACTTTTGTGTCTTATTGCCTTTTTAAAGGAATTGTTAACGTTGGAACTGAGGGTATGTACAGAAAAGTTGGTGTCAACACCGTTTAAAAAGTCATATTTTTTCACAAATATAGAAAAAATCATTTTGCATAAGAATTTTAAGTATTTGCAATAAATATATGTATATAGATTGTATGTATTCATATATTCTTATTTTTCATTTTATTAAGTAAAAGATAATTAAAGTGAAAATAAAAATCTTGGAGTTTTTGGTGAATCTTGAGATCTCACATACATCTGAGAGCAGTGTGGGTAAGGGCCCTCAGTTGTTGCCTTAATTACCATTGGAAGATTTCCACAGGTTGTGTAGAAGGGAGTAAAATGGGTAATTTGGTGGTAAATCAGGGTAATGTATTTTTTTCAGAACTGTAGTAAAAATACTAAAGCCTCTTAATCTGTCCATCTGTGTTCACCCTTAAACTATCCTGTCTCCTAACCACTTAATGTCAGTAGGAATGTAAGACCAAAAACAAACAAAAAAAAGGATGGGTGCATTTTTTTTTTTAAATATGCTCATTGTTTGCTTCTAAAACAAAGAATGGTAAGAAAGTATCTCAGGGGAAAATAGATTTTTCTTTCTCCACACTGGTTAGTAATTCATTAACAAACATTCACTGCCAACACTTTCCAGGCCAAGCGATGTATAAAGAAATAATCTCATGAAGAAAATAGAATGCTTTCTGTTTGCCAGTTTTTCTCCAAGAAATTAATTTCATAGCCGGTTTTATGTCCCCAGTTGATCTGGAGAGGCAGACGAGCCAGCTGAACTTGGATTTTGGTCTGTCTCCCTAGTGGCAGGAAGGGCATTTATAAGAATGAGGACTGAGCCAGATGTCAGAAGATATTAATTGCCCATAGTCCCATAATCTGGAATCCTGATATCTAAGAGAAGTAATTTTGTGGTTGTAAATACTTGGTTTTGGGATATGGTTGAGGAAGCAAAGTGATACCTAGATAGTTTTTGGAAATAAAGATATGTAGCCCACTCTTTAAAAATGAATAAAACAGATTTGTTTGATGACGTGAAGGAAAGTAAGGTCAGAATTCCAAGAATGTTCTAATGACCCATGAAACTGACTGTTGTTTACCAGGTCACCCCAAAATTGCTTAGCTGTGGTTATTTTCACTGATACAGGCATATTTTGGAAGTTAATAAGGATACATAGAATGCTTTTAAACATGGCAGCCTTACTGTTTTTCAGAAATTGAAATTTCAAACATTGGGGTTGCCCGAAGACATTGAAGATACTTTAGCCAATCAAAAGAACAGAACTCTAAATCTTTACTGAAAATACACTATTTCTAAAGAAAATGTCTTAAGTCTCAGGGAACATCTGCATCCTCATAGTTTGTGTATGTAATAGGAATGAAGCTGAAATACTTGCGTGTGAACCACAATGACCATTTACACAGACACCTCCCCCACCCCATGTCTAGTACATATTTATCATTATTTAAATGGGCCTTCTACCTCACTGGAAGTAAAACTAATTCAGGTAATGACATAGGAGCCTAAAGGTAGAGTTGGTCTGCAGTTGAGTGAGAGAGCAATGTGCCAGAACACAGAGTTAGCATGGATTCCCAACTTGACTGACATTGCAGCCTTAGAAACTGTCCATTGCTTTTTGACAGTACATGACCACGAGAGGTCTTCAGAAATCAGATTTTGCATAATGTTTCTAGCTGCTTTTGTGCACAAACCACGCTAATTCATATATTTGTAGAACACTTGCTTGTGCTAAGCACTGCTGAAGTCCTGGTTATATGCAAAGGTAAACAAAAGCAGCTATGTAAATTATGAACAGTTTTGCTATCGTAGTAACCATACAGCATGTGTCCAGTTCAGGGCTCAAAGAGTAATACATGCTATGTACTTCCCACGGCATGTTGGAAATTTAAGTGTAAATGAGTTACGAAGTAGCATTTGGAACACAGTGAACCAGTGGCAAACCATGAAGAAAAGAAAGACGTTGCCCCTAGATGAGACGACAGTGTGGAAGTGAGGAGCCATGTTAATAAAATTTACCTTTTTGAGGAACTGTCATTGTAAGGTTTAGTTGTTGATAGAAACTTAAGCCTTTAGAGGTCTAAATTGATGAAAGAATCCGGCCGAAAGCAATACCTTTGAAGTAATTCCTGTCGGTGTGTCAGTAAAGATGCTTTTTCTTAACATTCAATGGACACTTCAGAATAACAAGTGGGTAAATAACCCCAAAGAAGCTAAAGGGGATAAAAAAAGCATACCTTGAGCTCAATCTGGTAGTTTGGTGAGAAGTTCATCCCTAAAGAGATGTTGCTTCTCTGTTTTTTCTCCATAATGGAGATAATTAGTATCCTTTTTTATTCTAATATTGTAGGGTTGGCTCATCCCCTCCCCCATCTCTTAAGTTATAAAGCTTGAATCAAAAGAGGCTTCCACAGAACCCTACCCCTGCTGTGGCATAAGTCTTAATTCTTACTTTAAGAATAATGTAGTCTCATCTCTGTCCAAGAAATAGGAGAGTGGATATCCTGTATTTTCCTAGTACTAGGTGACCTCAAATAGAAAATTGGTTTTCTTAAATAGAGACTGTATGAACTAAAGGAATCCTACCTCCATATAACTTTAAGGCTTAATCTTAAAAGGGAGTCTCCTGGAAAGATTTCCCTTTAATAGGAAGGATAGATTGAACCTGGAAGGGCCCCCAAGATGGTCAGCTGTGGAGATGGGATGGGAGTAGATAGTGGGTTCTCCCTGAAGAGTAACTTTAAACTTTGTCTTTTTGGTTCTTCAAACTCAAAGGAAATGATAGAGCATTTTAAAACACCTGATTTGCACCTTGACTGCAAACCTTGAGAATGCCTAGGGAAGAAGAAAGGTAAACTCAAGATTGGGTTTAAGCCAGATTTAAGTAAAGTGAAAAAAATTTTTTTTTTAATGTTTTGGGTTCCCATAAGGTAATGTTGAATTGCTGAGTGGAACATGGAATTTGATTTGAGGCATTTTGTGGGCTAAGTATGGTTTTTTATTGTAGTGGCAGCTTTAGCTGCTGATCGTGATTTCAGGTTGTGCGTCTGTCAAATGACTCAGACATTGGCTCATACATACTATTAACCCAACTTTAGTCAGCACTTAATTTTATTAACTTTAATCATGGGCCTTTTAAAATATTTAAAATTCAGATTAGCCCAGAAAGAAAACAATACATTAAAAATATCGCTTCAGAACTGTTTTACATCCAGTCTATGTTCTTCCTATGGAAAGTGTGGTACATCAAATTTTGTTTCTTGGGTCAGTTTTATTCAGAGACCAGTGTCAAATGTTTTCCGATACCTAGAGCTTGGGGATGATGGAGCTGGACTTTGATCCTGAGTCCACAGTTCTTCCTATTTTAGGTTTTCAGGCAGTAACAGTTTTTTTGAGTTTAGTAGTGGCCCCCGCTGAACCTTGATCAAATTACTGCACAAGCTTTAAATTAATGGAACGCTTCCTAAGTCTCAAATGTGGTTTCCCCTTTGTTTCCTTTTGTTTGATAGATTCTGGTTTAGAAAGAACCTAAATATTTGTTCTCTAATAATGAACTACTGATTGAAGGGCAACTTTGTTTTTAGAGATTTCATGAAAGATCTAGAATACATGACAAATGAAATTCTAGAAATTAAAACCTTCTTTTCCTAGCAGTAAGTGCTATGACCTATATTTTTAAACCCATCTTAATTCTGTGACTCACTGCATCTCACCTTAAGACTGTCACCAGCACCAAGAGAAATCAGAATGGAAGAAATGACCTTATGTTGGTCTTGTTCACTTTAAAATCTTTGTGCACGTAGGCCTTAGCACTTTGACAGAAGAAACTCTGCCTTTTAGCTCCTCACTATCGTCTTTATTCCTGTCACTTTTAGACTATTCTTTCATTGGTTGTATAAAACTACCTTCAGAATTGAATGTATGATGTTTCTGCACATGGACAACTGTATTTTATCTTAATGACTCATGTTGAATAAAGGCATACAGTTTTACTCTAGAGATTGTGCATTTTCTTTTCCAAAGAAACTAGACATGTTGAATGACTTACCTGCTTGTTGCACCTTCCCCTGCACCTGATGGCACAATTGTCCCTGGATTTGGCTACATTAGGATGCCACAGAGAGTGCCGGTCTTTTCAGGCAATGTTCAAGGATTAAAAGAACTCAATGTGAGCTAGAAAGAGGTATGTGTTTTAAAAATAAAAAGGAAGTTCATACTGCAAAGCTACAGAAGTGAAAACAGCATGGTAATGGGATAAATGCTGATACACAGACCAATGGAATAGAATAGAGAGCCCAGAAATAAACCCTTGCATAGGTGGTCAAATGATTTTTGACAGGGGTGCCAAGACTAGTCAATGAGGAAAGGGCAGTCTTCAATAAATGTTACTAGGAAAAGTTGATATCCACATGCTAGAGAATGAAATTGAACCCTTGCACTGTATACAAAAATTTAAGAGCTAAAATATAAAAACTCAGAAGAAAGTGGAGAGAGCTTTATAATTCAAGTTGGCATTGATTTCTTGGATATGATGCCAAAAGTGTAAGCAACAGAAGAAAAAGTAAATTTGATTTCATTTAAAAAATGCACCTGTCAAAAGGACATTATCAACAGTGAAAAGACAATCTACACCTACAGAATGGGAGAAAATACAAATGATATATCTGATGAGAGATCATTCAGAATGTCTAAAATTCTGCAATTTCACAACAAAAGAAAAACCAATTAAAAATGAGTAAAGAACTTTAGACATTTCTCCTAAGAAGATACACAGATGGCCAATAAGCACATGAAAATATGCTCAACATCTCTAATTACTAGGGAAATGCAAATCAAAATGACAATGAAGTGCAACTTCATACGCAGTATGATAGCTGTTGTCAAAAAAGTGTTGGCAAGGATGTAGAGAAATTGGAACTCTTATGCATTGCTGGTAGAAATGGATGTATTTGTATATCTCTGCACCATTACCACATTATCTTCATTACTCTGGCTTTATAAATGTTTTAAGCCTGGGGAGTGTTAGTCCTTCAATTTTGTTCTTTATTTTGAAAGTTGGGTTGTCTATTTTATTTTTTTCTACTTAGCGGGGAAAGGAGGGAGAAAGGGAAATACCGATGTGAGAAGCATTGATCAGTTGCCTCTCAAGTGCATCCTAACCAAGGACCAACCCGCACCCCAGACATATGCCCTGACTGGGAACTGAACTGGCAACTCTGCTCCATGGACGTTACTCAGCCAACTGAGCCACACTATTCATGGCTGTGTTGGCTATTTTACACTTGATCTTAGCCAAAAAATGAGAAGCAATGAGTAGGCTATTTTAGGTCTTTTAGTTTCCCATATGAAAGTCAGTCTTGATAGAAATTGAACTGTTTGGAAGTCCAACAACCAAAGAGTTAAAGAAGAAACATTCATCCAGACTGGTAAGAGGGGTGGAGATGGGCAGCCGGAGTGGAGAGGACACACAGCAAGGCAGCTACTGGTGGACTGGGCGGTTCCACATTCATGTGCAGATAAGCGGTGGGGGGGGGGGAATAGTGAGCGATATAGACTGCACAACTCAAGGTTCCAGCATGGGAAACAAGCCTCAAAACCTCTGGCACTAACACCCTGTCGGGGTTGCCGTGGTGCAAGAAACTCCCAGTCTCTCAGGAGAGTCCGTTGGAAAGACCCACATAGTCCTAGAATATACACAAACCCAGGGCTTCAGCACCAGAAGGGCCCAATTCACTTGTGGGTAACAGGAAGTGACTGAAGGCTAGCTGAGAACGGAACAAGCAGCACTGTTCCCTCTTGGACCCCTCCCCCCACATATAGTGCCACAACATAGGACATAGTTTTGCCCTGCCCTGTTGAATACCTAAGGTTCTGCCCCTTATAACATGACAGGTGTGCTGAGACAAACGTATGTCCCAAATAAAAGAACAGATCGAAACTCCAGAAAAAGAACTAAGTGATGAGGAGATAGCCAACCTATCAGATGCAGAGTTCAAAACACTGGTAATCAGAATGCTCACAGAAATAGTTGAGCATGGTTGCAAAATAGAGGAAAAAGTGAAGGCTATGCAAAGCGAAAAAAAAGGAAGATGTACAGGGAACCAACAGTGATGGGAAGGAAACCAGGACTCAAATCAACAATTTGAGACCAAAAGAAGAAACCATTCAACGGGAACATATTTTAAAAATAAGAGGCTTAGGAACCTCCGGCACAACTTCAAACGATCCAACTTCTGAATCATAGGAGTGCCAGAAGGAGAAGGGGAAAAACGGGAAATTGAAAACTTACTTGACAACTAATGGAAAACTTCCCCAATCTGGTAAAGGGAATACACTTCCAGGAAGTCCAGGAAGCTCAGAGAGTCCCAAAGAAGTTGGACCTAAGGCAGCACACACCACGACACATCATAATTACATTACCGAAGATTGAGAGAATCTTAAAAGCAGCAAAAGAAAAGAAGATAGTTACCTACAAAGGAGTTCCCATAAGACTATCAGCTGATTTCTCAAAAGAAACCTTACAAGCAAGAAGGGGCTGGAAAGATGTATTCCAAGTCATGAAAGGCAAGGACCTCCATCCAAGATTACTCTATCCAGCAAAGCTATCATTTAGAAGGAAAGGTCAGAACGTGCTTCCCAGATAAGTTCAAGTTAAAAGAGTTCATCATCACCAAGCCATTATTATATGAAATGTTAAAGGGACTTACCTAAGGAAAAGAAGTTCAAAACTTCTTTTGTTACTGTTCAAAACCATGCACAGTAACAACTGAAGTTCAAAAAAAGAAAACAGAACCCCAAAACTAGAACAAGAACAGAATCATGGAAATGGAGATCACACACATAGAGGGTTACAGCAGGGATGGGAGGGATGGAGAAAAAGTACAGGGAATTAGGGGCATAATTTGTAGATACAAAATGGACAGGGTGAGGGGGGGAGGTTAAGAATAGTTTGGGCAATGGAGAAGCCAAAGAACTATGTACAAAACATGAATTAAGGCAGGAGGGGAATGCTTGTGGGGGAGGGGTGCAGGGCAGAGGTGGATATAGGGGAGAAAAGAATGGGACAACTGTAATAGCATAATAAAATACACTTAAGGGGAAAAAATCTTGAGACCAAAGAATTTGAAAACTACACCCTGCAGAAACAGGTTCAATAGCTATTTGGTCTGCCTTCTTGAAACCAAAGAAGTTTGAGAACCCTGTTTTTTACCACTCTTGATTATATTGTATCTTATGAGGCTTATGGCACGTGGCCCCTCCCTCAGCCATTGCTACTCGACCAATTCAAAGTTTGGGAGACATACACAGTGGGAGACATTCCCACACAGTTTGGGGAATCGAGAAATCAGCTGTGATATTCTTAGCGACTCCATGTTTATCTCAGTGTTTCAGTACTGCAGAGTTTTGACAAGCACATGAGGCAAGAGATCTGCATCTAAACCCTGCTATCTTGTCCCCAGCTGTTTCCCACTCTACTGGAAGGGCTTTCTCCCCCAAAATGTGGCAGGAATCTGTGCTTATTCTATGGTTAGTCCTCTAGTAGGCATTGGAAAACTGATAGGAACAATAAACACAGTAAAGTTGTAGGATGCAAAATCAATGTAGAAATACCCAACACTTTCCTATATACTGACAATGAAATACCGGAAGCATGAAAAAAAAATCCCTTTTGCAATCGCAACAAAAAATAAAGTGCCTAAGAATAAACTTAACAAAGGATGTGAAGGACCTATATGCTGAAAGCTACAAAGCATTATTAAAAGATTGAGAAGTACACAATGAAATGGAAATGTATTCTGTGTTCATGGATTGAAAGAATCAACATAGTTAAAATGTCTATATTACCCAAATATACAGATCTAACTCAAAATCCCAATTACATGTTTTAAAGAAATGAAAAAATTACCAGATTTGCGTGGAACTTCAAAAGACCCCAAATAGCCAAAGCAATCCTCAGGGGGGAAAAAATGAAGCCAGAGGTACCATACTATCTGACTTCAAATTGTGCTGTGAAGGAATGATAATCGAAACGGCATGGTATTGGCAGAAAGACACCCAGACCAAAGGAACAGAATTGAGACCAGAAATAAAACCACATGTATATGGGCAAATAATTTTTGACAAAGGAGCCAAAAACATACACTGGAGAAAAGAAAGCCTCTTCACTAAATGGTGCTTGGAAAGTTGAAAAGCTACATGTAAAAGAATGAAACTAGGCTAAAGTTTGTCCCCATGCACAAAAAAATTCAAAATGGGTTAAAGGCCTAAATAAAACTTCTGAAACAATAAATTACATAGAAAAAAACATAGTAAACTTATGGACATTGGCCTTAGAGAAGATTTTATGAATTTGACCCCAAAGGCAAGGGAGGTAAGGCATAAATAAATGAATGGGAATATATCAAAGTAAAAAGCTTCTGCACAGCAGGAGAAACTGCCAACAACAAGGCAACCAACTGAATTGGAGAAGATACTTGCAAACAACAGCAGAACTTACTATAACACCAAACAAACAATCTAATTAAAAATGGGCAGAGGACCTGAACAGATAATTCTCCCAGGAAGACATACAAATGGCCAACAGATACATGAAAAGATGCTCAACTTCACTAGCCACTAGGGAAATGTAAGTCAAAACTACAATGAGATACTACCTTACACCTGTTAGAATGTCAGTTATCAACAAGACAGGTAGTAAGTGCTGGAGAGGTTGTGGAGAGAAAGGAACGCTCATTCACTGCTGATGGGAATGTAAACTGGTACAGACACTATGGGAAACAGTATGGAGATTCCTCAAAAAATTAAGAATAGTGTTCCCTTATGATCCAGCAACCCCTTTCCTGGGTATCTACCTAGAAAGTGAAAAGGTCCACAAAGATATATGCACCCCTGTGTTCATTGCAGCATTCACGATGGCCAAGACATGGAAACAACTGAAGGGTCCTTCCGTAGATGATTGGATGAAGAAGGAGTGTACATATATACAGTGGAATACTA